GTTTTTTGGTTCCGAATTAGATGAACATGCCAGGCATCCCCGAAGAGCCCATGGTTGGTGACCTTTATGATATGATTGTGGAAAACTCGCCACACTTGAATGGAGAGAATACGCCTGAGCTTGCAGCAAACCCAGAGAGAATAGTGGAGGACCCTTTAACAAAGTATGTCATTGATGAGGTAAACCCTCAAACGCAAGATACGGGGAATGATAAGTATAGTGTCACTGCCGGAACCTCGAATCAACAAGCCTTTAAGCCATCACACACGAGTATTTATACACACGATGGCTCACAGAATGATTACTTTGCAGAGGAAGGTCCCTGGCAACTGGAGTACCCTGAATATGCAGTTCTGGACACAGTATTGGTAGATGAATACAGCAACTCTCTCATCAAACCAAATCAAAACGAGCAAAGTGACGAGAATATTGAAGAAGTACTGGAAAAGATGATTCTGAATGCTATTAACATTGATATCACAAAAGAGCTGCACAGCCCTTATTCGTTTGCAGGTAACAAGCTAAGGCAAGCAAATTCAAAGCATAGCTTCAAAAGCACTTTTAATGGACGTTTAGGAGTAAATCTCCCTGTCAAAAATAACCAGCACATCCCAAGCGATAAACACATGACTTCTGAATCACAAGAAATTGCAGGCAACGCTCTACCGATAGATCCTATTAGATACACCAAAGAAACCAAGCAAATTATCAAGTCGTTTCAATCTAAGGTACCAACATCTTCTGGTGCTCTTGGAAAAGTGCTTGAGAAGGTAAACAGAGTTGAAGAGCTTGCAGAAGAAGATGTAGAACACATACACGATCTGGATTACGATGATGATGACGACAGTGATGGAGATGATTATGACGCTTACGCCAAATAGGAGATAGTACCTTAGCCAATTGCATGTAATAAAATATTAAGCTTATGAACTTATGGTATAAATATTTTGCTGTAACCCTCCACTTTAGCTCTGCAACACACACAAATTCCGAAACCCCTAATACCCAAGCTCATACGACAACCTTCACAAAGTGAGAAACACTTGCATGGCCATAACACCACGGATCTTGGTTCTGTTTGACACACAACACATGTCAATTCCTCACTGGTGTGCTCGTGATCATCGATATCGTTTGCATTGTGATTATGTCTAGCACATTGGATAACCTCTTCTAATAACCCATCTCTGTTCAGCTCTCCATATTGTCTTCTTGTCAATCTTCTATCCTGTGATAAGTGTAGCCTCATAGTATGAATCAACGACATCTCTTCCGTATCCTGTGTATTTGGAGAGATCCAGTGAACTATATCATCTGGAGTAAACAATTCATTTAATGTCGATGCTTTTTCAGTCTGATGAATCACTCTTTGGCGTAAGCGTGCCTTCGCCAGCGTAGGCACGTATTCTTGATCCATTTCCAGTTCATCCAATTCCGAATCGTACTCCAATGGATCGACTTCAGATTCTTCATCTTCCGATTCACGAGGTACAAAGTCCTCAGAAGTATCAACATCCTCCAATTGTAAAGAATCATCCAATAAACACGAGGTTGAATCGTTTGAATGGCGCAGATTTCCATAGAGTTGAGGCGTTGGTAATTTCTTCGTCGTGGGGTTCGGTTTATGACGAATAAGTTGTATGGCCAACAAGAGCAACGCTTGTAACAACTTAGCCATGTTAGCAAATTTCTTGTACAAGTTCCAATTTCTGTAAAAGGGAATGTCTTGACTTGATGGTTTAGTCTGCTTCAACTCCACCAAGTCTGGGTTATTCTCCAGCTTGTTCAAGTATCCACTTACTAAATGGTGCTGCTCCAAATAAGTTCCCTTAGACAATGTCAAAGCTGGTAACTCGTTGACGTATTGTTTATCCTCCACTGCTGTAAACATGATATATCCAAATCTCATAAGCGCAGAGTTAAAATCATCGTTTAGTTGTAAGTTAAGAGAATCTTTCAAGTTTTCCATCATAGGCGTATAGGTAAGTGTAGAAGCATCACCACCGTTCATCAACACACTCAGTTCGTAAAGTGCAACACAGAACGTTGTCGTGACCAACACGAACAACTGAGGGAACACCGATCCCAGCACGACGCTAGGCATGTACTCCAGTTCACCATAGTATATGGTCAAACAGTAAAACAGCAGAAATGATATACCCAAGATTGTTGAAGGTATAAGTTGGTACTTCTTCAGGCCCAACAACCCCACGGTATGTGTCGTGAGTTGTGTTATCAATGAGAAACAGCATATGATCAGTAAATGAGGCGACGGAATCTTCATTCTTTGACACTCCTGGAATGCTATGGAATGCTCAAACAACGTTAACCCAGTGTCATTTGAAGGCGATTGGCCTGAAGTTATAGACACAAACGTTTCTAAGAACTGGGATATGCACAGAGTCATGAAGACGCTCCACAGTAAAGAATGGACAGGCTGACGTTCTTCTGGTAGGTAGTCCAGCACCATGTCGTGGAATGGATGGTAGATATATGCAAACTGAACAACCACGAACCATAAGCATCTCAGGATCATGGACAAGGCAAACAGACGGAGGATCCACTTGGGCCATCTCGGTGCGCGTGGGTTATGCCTTCTTGAGCTGGCAAACACCGCAGTTCTGTTCAGCACTATGGCCATAATCATACAAACGCCCGAGTAAGGACTTATGAAGTAGTGAAACACCGTGAACCTGTGATTGTTGGCATTGCTGTTGTTGTTGGTGTGGTTATTGGCGGTCGAACCCACTGCACCGACGTTGCTTTCGATACCTCCAGTAGGTTGTTGTGCTACCCTTTTGAACGCCCTAAGCATGGACGTGATAAGCCACGAGCCAGCCGACGGTGAGGAAGAGTTGGTTGTATTCATAGCTGCCTCTTCTGCAGTGCCTCTCTCGTGACAGTAGAACGAATTTGCAATAGGACAAGAAGAATGAATAGCAGCTCTTGAATCCTCCTTCGGTACGATTCATCCGAGCGGTGATTACATAATCACAGCCCGGAAGTAATATCAGCACGTGACATATACCCTCGCTTTTCTTTATGTCCGGTTTTGCTTTCTTTTTTTTTTTTACCCCGGCGGTGGAGAAAAGGCATCGAGTCATAAGTCACCTGAAAATTTCCGTAGTGAAATGCTGCTTTTGTCTGCTTTCTTCTTTCTTTCTTCTCGTCAATCCATTGGAAACAAACTAAACAATGCCACATCTCTTCTCTAACATCGAACAATTGCCACCAGATGCTCTGTTTGGTCTGAAGGCCCGTTACGTTGCCGATGACAGAGCCACCAAGGTTGATTTGGGAATCGGTGCTTACCGTGATGAGAACGGTAAGCCATGGGTGCTTCCATCTGTCAAGCGTGCTGAGAAGTTGCTCCAGGAGGACCCTTCCTATAACCATGAGTATCTGCCAATCCAAGGTTTCGCACCTTTTGTCACAGCTGCTGCCCAGGTTATCCTAGGTGAAGACTCACCTGCAATTGCAGAGAAGCGTCTGGTTTCTGTCCAGTCCCTGTCAGGTACCGGTGCACTTCACGTTGCTGCCAAGTTCATCAAGAAGTTCTATTCAAAGTCTGAAACTGTCTACCTCTCCAAGCCAACATGGGCCAACCACTTCCAAGTTTTCGAGACAATTGGTCTCAAGACTGCTACCTATGCCTACTGGAAGGATGAGACAAAGTCTTTGGACCTGGAAGGGTACCTGAGAGACATTGAATCCGCACCAGAAGGCTCAGTGTTCTTGCTTCATGCTTGTGCCCATAACCCAACAGGGCTGGACCCAACCCCTGAGGAGTGGACGCAAATCTTGAATGCCATCAAGAAGAAGAACCACCTTCCTATATTCGACTCTGCATACCAAGGTTTCGCCTCTGGTTCCTTGGAGAAGGATGCCTGGGCCCTCCGTGAAGGTGTCAAGATTCTCAAGGAGACCCCAATCATCGTGTGCCAATCGTTTGCTAAGAACGTTGGTATGTACGGTGAAAGAGTTGGTGCCTTCCACTTGGTGCTGCCAACTGATGAGAACAAGGCGGCCATATTGTCTCAACTCCAAGTGTTTACAAGATCCGAGCTGTCCAACCCACCAGCCTACGGTGCTAAGGTTGTTGCCAAAGTATTGACCACACCAGAGTTGAGAAAGCAATGGCAAGATGACCTCATCACCATGTCTCAGAGAATCCACAAGCAAAGATTGGCTCTAAGAGACCGCCTCGTGAAGCTACAAACTCCAGGCAACTGGGACCACATCGTCAACCAGCAAGGTATGTTCTCCTTCACAGGGCTCTCAAAGGAACAAGTTGCAAGATTGGAATCCAAGCATGCCGTGTACATGACCGCCAATGGTCGTGCTTCAGTTGCCGGCTTGAACGAGCACAACGTCGAATACGTTGCAAATGCTATCGATGAGGTTGTCCGTAGTGCTTCAAAGTTGTGATTTTGGAGGGGGCCGTATATAAACGTATATATTGTACCATCTATAAAGACTCATGTTTTGTTTCTATAATGTAAACATTGAAACTGATGATGATGTGCTCTTCCTACCCTCAATCAACAAAGAAAGCGAGGAAAAACAAGCCTTTGCCCTTCAAACAGCGGGAAAAAAAAGGAGAAAAAAAGTAAACAAGGCCAAAACAGCAACAAAACACTCACAGCGGCTAAGGAAAGCACACAGCGGTTAAGGGTCATGCTCAAGTTACAAGTTGTTCTTGTTCCTCCAAGTGCTTTGAAACAACGTCAGCAGCAACCGTTGAGAAGCCAATGGGGGAATACGGCTGCTATTCAATCCTCATCTCCTTTCCCAAGGGATCTGGGGACTTCAACGCCAAACACGTCAAATATCAGTAGTTCGGGTGGTAATGGCAATGGCAACGGAAACAGCAGTGGAATGTTTGGATTCCAACCACTGAGAAAGTTTTTGCACATAACACGTCGAGACAAGGAGTTGTTTGAAGTTGGGTTGGAGATTAGAGCGAGGTTCTCGAAGTTGTACCCGGATGAAGAGCCTCTAGAGATATTGAAGTTGCAAGATTCGAATGAGTGCGACTTGGATCCGGATTACATTGTTGGCGATATCTTTGATGTGGACAATGTTGTTCGTGTTTTGCTTCTCAACGAAGTTGTGCCACTAGACATTACGATGGAGAAGGAGGTGGTTGCAAGAAAGAAACGTCGTGCATCTGGTGGTAACTCATCCACACTGACAATACCAAAGAAGAGAATCATCTCAAAACAACCACACCGCGGTGATACCTCTGTTTGGAGCAATGTTGAGAGCGACGTGAGAAGATCCAATCTATCCAACCAGATCTATCCGGAGAAGTCGTTCAATTTGTCTATCAACGATGACTCTGAAGTTTCTCTGCCCCCTCCTGAAGAAGATGAGACCAGGTACGAGGATCCAAAGAAGCACAAGCCTCTGCCAACATCACCTTTACCTTCGTCAAAGAGAATAACTTCGGGCATGCTCGTTGCTCCGGAACCTCAGTTGAAGGATGCTGCGGAGGCTACGTTGCACGAACAGGAGATCAATGAGAAACTGGCACAGAAGAGAATTCCGTCAAAGAGAACTGTTCTCGAACAAGAGGAAGAGGAAGAGGGAGAACAAGAGGAAGAACAAGAGGAAGAACAAGAGGTAGAGCAAGAGGTAGAACAAGAGGTAGAGCAAGAGGTAGAACAAGAGGTAGAGCAAGAGGTAGAACAAGAGGATGAGGAAAAAGGAAAGCAAGAGGATGAGGAAAAGGGAAAGCAAGAGGATGAGGAAAAGGGAAAGCAAGAGGATGAGGAAAAGGGAAAGCAAGAGGACGAAAAGAAAGCACCAATCAGTAGAAAATCCAGTCCAGCCCTAAGTGAGATCTTAAGCTCCAGTAAAGATACTAGTGTTCACAAGACTGCATTTACAGAATCTGAAGATGAAAGTGAAGATGGAGATGAAGATGGAGATGAAGATCAACAGAATACTGTTATTTACCACAAGAAAGAACAACCAACTCAATTACTCAACACCCAGGAAGAGGAATCAGGACAGCCAGCTGATATAACGGACTCTTTGACTCTTGGCCCAGAGTTTACCAAAAAAGAAGTGATTAAGATCTTCGAAACTGGTAGAATCCCAGCATCTGTGAAGAAGAAATTGGAAAAGTTTGCATGCGCAAAACTCACTATACCAATCACTGGTTCCGATAATGGTCCTCGTTCTGCAAGAACTTCTCGTGCTGCTGCTGTTGCAGCCCTCAAAAAGATTGTTCAAGCCAAATTCCCAGACTTAGACTTCCCAGAGAGGCTTGGCCGTTCTAATGGAACACCAACTAAGACGGAGAACCTTTCACGTACAGCATCCAATGGTAATGTTGTGGAAGAAGAAGACAACATAAATAGTAAGGAGGAAAAAGAAGAAGACAACATAAATAGTAAGGAAGAAAAAGAAGAAGATAGCGAGGATGATGATGATGATGATGATGATGATGATGATGATGATGATGACGATGTTGTCGTTTACAAGAAGGAGATACTGCAGAAGACAGAGGATCTAAACCCACCTGCTCCAGAGAAGCCCGTCAAGGCTTCTTCAAAGATTTCACAAAATGTGACCGAGCCTCAGTCAACGGTTACTCTTGAGGATGTTCGGAACAATATTACTCATTCAAAGTCTGACATCTCTGAGGCTCAGGGACCTAAGGAAGCTCGGGTGGAACAACCGCCGGAAAGCTCCAAGTCAACAGAATCCACAAACGTTACGAAATCCAATGCTGAAGAAGCGAAACCTGCTCAAAAGTTACAGACAGAGAATACTGAACCATCAATTGCAGCAAACATTTCCAACACATTAACTACTTCGCCTGCTGGTCCAATGGGTTCATCTGAATCAGACCTGAGCTCCTTTAAGAGAGTATTACTTCACAGGGCACATCTCTCCAATCCAGGCCTTCCAGAGCCTTTAGATAGTGAAGTACCTGGAATTAAAGAGATTGATGACAAATTGGGATCTACAACAACAACACTTGACGAGAAGAGAGCATTGTTGATTCAGAGAAAAAAGCTTATCAGAAACGCTAAGAGACGTGAACAGTACAAAAAACAAAAACTTGAAGGTACCACACCTCACAAGCCAAGTCAATCTACACAGACCCCATCAAAGATTCCAGCTACTCAATCATCACAGGGCTCGTCTGAGGCTTATAAATCAGCACATGTTTCGGTAAAAACGGTACAACCTGTACCAGATGTTATTCAAAGTACACCAACTGCTAAAATATCTGCAACATCTAAAACAGATGCTGCACCAAATGCGTTGCAGACTATTTCAGGTAAAACTGAAACAAAAGGGGAATCAGATAGTTCCAGCTCGGGCTCTGGGTCAGAATCAGAGTCAGAGTCAGAATCAGAATCAGAGGAGGAAGAGAAGTCCTCAAAGACCCCAAGAATTGTCAATACACCAAAGACGATCTCTCAGTCTGCGTCGAGGACTGAAACTTTGAGAACGAACGCTGCAAAAACTGTGAATTCTAATAACTCAATCTCTCAAACTCAACCGGCAACACCGTCCATATCCCAGAAGAAAAAAGGTATCAACTCACGCAAATCACTGAGCTCGTTGACCGACCTTGCCTCACGTGGTGTTCCTGATGTTCAGGATTCTCTAACACCAAAATCCAACAGACAATCAGTCGCCTCGAGTTCTAAGAAACCTGAAAACGAGTCGGAAAATGACAGCTCTGACAGCTCAAGTTCTGACAGCTCAAGCTCTGACAGCTCAAGTTCTGACTCTGATTCCGATTCAGACAGACCAAGTCAAAAATTCCTCAACGCTAAGGCTGCAAGTGATCTTGTTGGTGGTAAACCAAAGAAAAAAAGAGTTAGTAGTGCATTCAGAGGGTTGATTGATGATGCTAACAAGAGATGACAAGCAACTACGTGTGTACATTATATGACCAAGTTTGTAATATTAAAGGAGAATAAAGCAAGAAGGAAAAAGGAAAAAGATTAGCATAATAATCACTTCATTCATCGTTAACGTTGATGTTGTTGTTATTGTCGCTGTTGCTGTTGACCTTCGATAAAGCCCATAGCTTCAGATTGCGTAATTTCACTGACAGAACTGATTTTGTTGTTGAACATAACACCGTAGAATTTGTTGGCGACTTGTAACATCTCTGGTCTAAACGTCGTACAAATGAATTGGGCATTAGCACTCAACTCGTGGATCATATCAGCCACCGCAGTTCTGTACTGTGTATCTAAATTGGCGTCAACTTCATCAAACAAGTAGAAAGGTGCAGGATCTGATTTTTGTATAGCAAGAATCAATGCAATGGCACACAGGGATTTTTGACCTCCAGAGAGTTGCTCAATACGCTGTTGTTCATCATTCTTGGAGTTGAACGACACTTGGATGGATACACCACTGTAGTTATCGATGCTAGATTCGTCGTCTTCATGACCAATATCATTTTCATAGTCGTCATACTGAGAGGATGCGGTATCCTTGTTATGACGTTGCATGATGAGATGACCAACTCCCTTAGGAACCAACTTCTCAAAGACTTCACTGAATGACACAGACACCTTATTGAAGGTCTTTTCAATGGCATCATTTTTTCTCTCGCTCAAGTGGTCCATCAAATCCATAATACTCTTCTCAGATTTGTCTAGTTCCTTACGACGTTCAACCAAACTATCTCTCTGCTTTGTGAAATTCATATACTGTTCGAGTGCCTTTCGGTTGACATGGCTGAACTTTTCAAGACCTTTAGTTACAACAGCAAGCTTTCGTAGCAGTTCATCGACATCAAACTCATCGTCCTGATTGAATGCCGCATCCGGTAGAGTACCAAGTTGCCTAATCTTGGCTTGTATATCTTCTCTTCTCTTTGTCAAAATCTGTCTCTTTGACATGTACTTCTCTGAGTTCCTTTGGAAATTCTCAAGAGTCTTGATGAGCTTACGCTGTTGGGCATCAGCTGCAGTCAACTCTTCATGAAACTTCTTCAATTCAGCGTTGTTCCCCTCACTCTTGGTACGTACTTCTATTAAAGATGATTCTGCATTGGCAAGTTCTTCATGATACATTGCAACTTCCTGCTCCAATTTGTTGATGAGCCCCCCATTGGTGACACTATCTTTCTGTTGTTGTCTCTTCAACAACTCCTGTAAACGAGGTTCCAAATTCTCCCCCAGCTCAAGCGTCAACTTGGTTAGCTCGGAGTCTCTGACCAAAATATCATCAATGGTACTGTTCAGCTTAGTATCGAGCTGAGATAGTGTTTTGTTTAGCAATTCCAGTTCATTCTTTTCTTCTACGGAGAGATCTTCTTCGAAGTCGGAAGCCAGCTCCCTCTCAAAATCGTCCAACTTTGTTTCCAAAGTGACAACCAGAGCTCTATTTTGAGTAATTTGTTGTTCCAAGAGCTTCAAAGACTCTTCCAGTTTGAACTTCTCATTGAGTTTATTCGACAGAGTTGATTTGAAACTGTTCTTGGAGGAAACCAATTCGTCATAACTTGAGTGTAGAGCTGTCAACTCGTTACTAATTCGCAAGATTTCTTGCCCCTTCTTGTCAATGGAGCTCTTGATCCTTAACAGCTCAACCTCTTGACTTGAAAATTCATTGGACTTTTCCTGTCTGGTCTTCATAGCTTCCATTCGGGACTTCCTGAAATCGTAGTAACCACCAGTCAATACACCCTTTCTGTCAGCTTTATCACCGTCTAAAGTGATGGCATTAAGCTTGAACTCTCGTGAAAGTTCGTAGCCTCTTTCCAGATCAATAGTAACGATTGTTTTGCCAAAGGTTTGTTTGACTGCTGCTTCAATTTCCGGATTGAATCCAATCTTTTTGATCAGTGGAACACAATCATTAGAATCTGGATATACTTGGTCTTTAACTTGCAACCTATTAAGAGGGATAAAAGTCACACGGCCAGCTTTTTCTCTGATAAGCTCATTCATAAGTGTAGTTGCAGTATCATCGTTATCCACGATAACGTGAAACAACGAATTTCCAGCGATCACCTCAACAGCTGTTCGGTACTTCTGGTTAACTTGGATCAGCTCTCCAAGAGCACCGTAAACACCCGTCAACCCCAATCTTGCGGTGATACGTTTGATAGCCTGGAGACCATTTGCCAATTGTCTGTCCATTGTTTGACCAACTTGTCTCTCTGCTTTGTTCAGATCCTCGCGTAAAGAATCCAAAATCGTCTTACAACGGTTTTCCTCTCTCCAAAGAGCTTTGCGTTGGTCATTCTCTCTGGAGTATTGATCTCTCAGGGATGCAATCTTTTCCTCAATTTCAAGGATCTCTGCCTGTGCTGTTGGACCGTTGATGCTATCTTGAATATCGTGAATTTGATCAACAACAGTGGATAATTCTTGTTTCAAGTTCGACAATTCACTTTCAGTTGTGGCTATAAGAGACTCCTTCATTGATTTATCCGTTTTCAACTGATTCATCTGGGACTCAATCCAACTGTTTCTATCTGATTTGTTATTGAACATCGAATAGCGACCTTGCTTGGAGTACAACAGATTCTGTTTAGTCTTTGCCTGTGAAATTTCCAATCTCAGTTGTTTCTCCAGACTCTTTAACTGTTCAACTTCTGGTTTTTTTGAAGCAATTGAATTCTTTGTATCTTGAATCTTTGATCTGATTTGATCGATGGCTTTTGTAGCTGTTTTGATAGTTTTCTGTTCAGAAGCAAACAATTCCTTAGCCTCCGACAGCTCTGCGGTTTTTCGGTACAGCTTCTTCGTTATATCATTAACAATTGAGTTCTGCTGATCATAATCAATACTGAGCAATTTTTGTTTGTGCTTTGCAGAGTCGATGAACTTGTTGAGTTCTAAGACAAGGGCCTCTCTTTTCTCCAAATTCTCGACAAATTTGTGGGAGTTTTCCACAGCATTTTGGTATTCACTATCGATCTCATCTATCGAAGTTGTAATATCTTCCAGGTCGTGGTCGTAAAGGATAAACTCGTAGATTTTCTTATCCCTTTCCAAATCTTGAAACTTCTTCAACTCATCCTTTTCAGAGTCAAGATCCGCCAATCTCTCCTGGATAAACTCGAGCATTTCATCAACCTTATCTCTTTGGACCTTAGTTCTCGTCATCTCCTTCTGAGACTCTTTCAGCTTATTCTCGAAGACCTTTGCACCTGCAACTTCTTTCAACAAGTTCAACCTCTCCTGGTCCTTTGCGTTTGTCAATGCAGTGATACGACCTTGGGGAACAATATAATAAGGGTTTGATTTGGAGAAGCCTGCACTCTCCAGCAGCTGCATTACGTCGGTTCTAGTAGAGGACTTGTAATCCAAGGAATAGTCATCCTTTTTCAGCCCAATTGTTCTTCTGATAACGACCTCGTCTTTACCTGTTGGGAATCTCCCATCGGAATTCTCAAACACAATCTCGACGAAAGCCGACAGGACCGTTCCAGAACCCTCGTGGATTAACCCTTGTCTTTCCTCTTTAGTCATTCTCGTGTACTGGTCACTTAGAACGAATCTAATAGCGGCAAAGAAGTTGGACTTACCAGAACCATTACGACCAACGACAACGTTATGGGCCGGTGAGAGGTCATCGATTGTCGTAGTGTTCTTGTAGGTCTTGAACCCTTGGATGACGATTCTTTTGATGTGCATCGATTCCTTGAGCTTTCTGCGATGTGTACACTTGAGGAAGAGTTGAGTTGAAGAAGAAGCTCAAGTACAAAAAAACACATAAACTACGCGTCCGTCTTTCCTTCACTTTCGCGTCGCGTCGCGTAAGCACCGATTCTACACCCGCACACCTAAACACCTGAACATTTGTCTTATCATCACGTGACTCGGTAGGAGCAGCACTCAACGTCCCCAACAAAAAGTTTTGGAAATTTGGCCCGCCAACAAAAAAAACTACAATGAGCGTTTTTGTGGCATCCAAAAAAACGCGTTGGGCTTCTCATCGCCAGCGGCTAACGGTGTAAACAAATTGTGCTTTTCTATATAAACAAGCCAATTTCTCCTCTGCGTACACACCACCCAAACAACACCAACAACACCATAAAATCAAACGATGCGTCCAGAAATTGAGCAAGAATTGGCGCATTTGCTTTTGACAGAGCTTTTGGCTTATCAATTTGCCAGTCCAGTCAGATGGATTGAGACTCAAGACGTGTTCTTGAAGGATTATAACACCGAGAGAGTTGTTGAGATTGGACCTTCTCCAACTTTGGCGGGAATGGCCTCCAGAACCATCAAGGCCAAGTACGAGTCCTACGATGCTGCTTTGTCATTGCAGAGACAAGTCTTGTGTTACGCTAAGGATTCCAAGGAGATTTACTACACTCCTGATCCTGTTGAAGCGCCTACCGAGGCCCCTGCCGCTGCTACTACTAGCGCTGCCGCCCCTGTTGCTGCTGCCACTGCTGCCCCTGTTGCCGCTGCCGTTGCTGCTGCTCCTGCTGCTGCTCCTGCTGGACCTGTCGCTGACATCCCAGATGAACCGGTTAAGGCTTCCTTGTTGATCCATGTCTTGGTTGCCCAAAAGTTGAAGAAACCATTGGACCAGATTCCAATGTCTAAGGCTATCAAGGATTTGGTCAATGGTAAGTCTACAGTTCAAAACGAAATCTTGGGTGATTTGGGTAAGGAATTTGGTGCCACTCCCGAAAAACCAGAAGATACACCATTGGATGAGTTGGCTGAACAATTCCAAGAGAGCTTCAACGGTGCATTGGGTAAACAATCTTCTTCTTTGATTGCAAGATTGATGTCATCTAAGATGCCGGGTGGTTTCTCTGTTTCTGTTGCCAGAAAATACTTGCAATCCCGCTGGGGATTGGGTTCTGGTAGACAAGATTCTGTCTTGTTGATGGCCTTGACTGAAGAGCCTGCATCTCGTTTGGGTAACGAAGGTGATGCTAAGGCATTCTTGGATGGCATCGCTCAAAAGTACGCTTCAAAGGCTGGTATCTCTTTGGCTTCTGCTGCCGCTGGTGCTGGCGCTGCCGCTGGTGGTGCCGGTGGTGCCACAATTGATGCTGCTGCCTTTGAAGAATTGACAAAGGATAACAAGATCTTGGCCCGTCAACAACTGCAAGTATTGGCTCGTTACTTGAAGATGGATTTGAACAAGGCTTCAAAGGTTGTCGATCAACAAAAGGACACTCTCAAGGACTTGCAGAGCCAATTGGACTTCATCACAAATGAATTGGGTGAAACCTTTATTGATGGTCTCTCATCCTCATTCTCTAGAAAGAAGGCCAGAGTCTTTGATTCCTCATGGAATTGGTCAAGACAATCCTTGTTGACCTTGTACTTTGAAATCATCCACGGATTGTTGAAGAGAGTCGACAGAGAATTGGTCTCTGAAGCTATCAACATTATGAACCGTTCAAACGCTGCCTTGATTAAGTTCATGGAGTACCACATCAACAAGGCGAAGGGTAAAACCGATGAAAACTACGTCTTGGCTCACGAGCTGGGTTCTCAGTTAATTGAAAACTGTAAGGAAGTTTTGGACATTGACCCTGTCTACAAGGATATTTCCTACCCATTGGCCCCAAAGACCACTGTTGACCACAAGGGTAACATCTCTTACTCTGAGGAGCCAAGAGAGAATGTTCGTAAGTTGCAGCAATACGTTCATGAAATGGCTCAAGGTTCCACCATAACCAAGGAGGAGAGACCAACCATTGCTGATGATTTGACAAAGGTTTACAAAGCCATTACAAAGCAAACTGAAGTTTCAGAATCATCCAAGATTCAATTGGAGAAAGTTTACGGTGAATTGATTAAATTCTTGGAATCCAACGATGAGATTGAGATGCACAGATCCACCACTGTTGCTGGTATCAACGATGACAACTTGGATACTGATTCTGCGAAGGAAGTTGCTTCTTTGCAAAAGAGTTCTTCTATCTCAAACCCAGTCTCTAAGGCCATTCCACCAGAAACCATTCCTTTCTTGCACTTGAAGAAGAGATTGCCAAACAACGAATGGTCCTATGACCGCCAACTGACATCTGTGTACTTGGATGGTTTGGAGCAGGCTGCTGTTAACGGTGTTACTTTCAAGGAGAAGTACGTCTTGATGACTGGTTGTGGTGCAGGATCTATTGGAGCAGAGGTCTTGAAGGGTTTGTTGCAAGGTGGTGCCAAGGTTATCGTCACGACTTCTAGATTCTCCAAGAAGGTCACTGACTTCTACCAAGAGATGTACGCAACCTATGGTGCTAGAGGTTCGACTTTGGTTGTTGTTCCATTCAACCAAGGCTCCAAGCAAGATGTCAATGCCCTCGTTGAGTACATTTACGACGATGTAAAGAAGGGTGGTTTAGGTTGGGATTTGGACGCCATCATTCCATTCGCTGCCATTCCAGAGAATGGTATCGACTTGGCTCAAATTGACTCCAAGTCTGAATTGGCCCACCGTATCATGTTGACCAATGTCTTGAGAATTATGGGTGCTGTTAAACAACAAAAGTCTTCCAGAGGTATTGAGACAAGACCAGCTCAAGTTATCTTGCCATTGTCTCCAAACCATGGTACTTTTGGTAGTGATGGTTTGTACTCTGAGTCCAAGTTGTCCTTGGAGACTTTGTTCAACAGATGGTTCTCTGAAAACTGGGCTAACCAACTCACCATCTGTGGTGCCGTTATCGGCTGGACTAGAGGTACTGGTTTGATGAGTGCTAACAACATCATCTCTGAAGGTATTGAGAACTTGGGTGTGAGAACTTTCTCTCAAGCGGAGATGGGATTCAACTTGTTGGGTCTCTTGACTCCGGAAATCACGCAATTGTGTCAAAAGTCACCTGTTTGGGCTGATTTGAACGGTGGTTTGCAGTTCATCACCCAGTTGAAGGACAAGACCAACCAACTGAGACAAGATATTTTGGAATCTTCTGATATCAGAAAGGCTGTTTCTATTGAGACAGCTATTGAGCACAAGGTTGTTAACGGTGAGAACGCTGATGCACCTTTCGCTAAAACTCAAATCAACCCAAGAGCTAACCAGAAGTTCGACTTCCCAGAGTTGAAGCCATATGAAGAGATCAAGAAGCTTGCTCCAAACTTGGAAGGTCTGTTGAACTTGGAAAAGGTCGTTGTTGTCACTGGTTTTGCCGAAGTTGGTCCATGGGGTTCTTCTAGAACTAGATGGGAGATGGAAGCATACGGCGAATTCTCCTTGGAAGGTTGTATCGAAATTGCCTGGATTATGGGCCTCATCAAATACCATAATGGTAACCTGAAGGGTAGACCATACACTGGTTGGGTTGATGCGAAGACCAATGAACCAGTTGAAGACAAGGACGTTAAGTCGAAGTACGAGGCCTATATCTTGGAGCACTGTGGTATTAGATTGATTGAACCAGAGTTGTTTAACGGTTATGATCCAAAGAAGAAGGAATTCATCCAGGAAGTCGTTATTGAGGAGGACTTGGCTGAGTTTGAAGCTTCTAAGGATACTGCTGAACACTTCAAAGCTCAACATGGTGAAAAATGTGAGATCCAAGAAAATGCAGAGACTGGTGAGTACACTGTCAAGTTGTTGAAGGGTGCTACCTTGTACATTCCAAAGGCCCTCAAATTTGACCGTTTGGTAGCTGGTCAAATTCCAACTGGTTGGGATGCTAGACGTTATGGTATTTCCGAAGATACCATTTCCCAAGTTGATCCAATCACTCTGTTTGTCTTGGTTGCTGTTGTGGAAGCATTCATCTCTGCTGGTATTTCTGACCCATATGAGTTGTACAAGTACATCCATGTTTCCGAGCTTGGTAACTGTTCTGGTTCTGGTATGGGTGGTGTTTCAGCTCTTCGTGGTATGTTCAGAGATCGTTACAAGGATCAACCAGTTCAAAACGATATCTTGCAAGAGTCTTTCATCAACACAATGTCCGCTTGGGTTAACATGTTGTTGTTGTCTTCTTCTGGTCCTATTAAGACCCCTGTTGGTGCATGTGCCACTGCTGTTGAGTCTTTGGACATTGGTTTCGAGACCATCGTTTCCGGTAAGGCCAAGGTCTGTATCGTTGGTGGTTACGATGATTTCCAAGAAGAAGGTTCTTATGAGTTCGGTAACATGAATGCTACCTCTAACACATTGGATGAATTTGAGCAAGGTCGTGCTCCATCTGAGATGTCCAGACCAGCTACCACAACAAGAAACGGTTTTATGGAATCTCAAGGTTCTGGTATCCAAATCATCATGAACGCCAAGTTGGCTTTGGAAATGGGTGTTCCAATCTATGGTATTTTGGGTATGACTGCTACTGCCACTGATAAGATTGGTAGATCGGTTCCAGCTCCAGGTAAGGGTATTTTGACCACTGCTCGTGAGCACCACGGTGATTTGAAGCACAACGCTTCCCTCTTGGACATGTCCTACAGAAAGCGTCAAGTTGAGAGAAGAGTCAGAGAGGTTAAATCCTGGATCGATTCTGAGTACGAGTTCTTGCAAGAGGAGGCTAAGAGCATGCCAACTGAAGAGCAAGAATCATACATTTCTGAAAGAATTCAAGAGATTCAAGATGAGGCTGAGAAGCAAATCAACTCTGCTAAGGACTACTATGGTAACTTCTTCTTTGTTAACAACCCAAGAATTGCACCAATTCGTGGTGCCTTGGCTACCTTTGGTTTGACCATTGATGACATTGATGTCTGTTCTTTGCATGGTACCTCTACTAAGGCCAATGATAAGAACGAGTCTGCTGCTCTTAACATGATGTTTGAGCATTTGGGCAGAACCGAAGGAAACCCATCTATGGCTGTGTTCCAGAAGTACTTGACTGGTCATCCAAAGGGTGCTGCAGGTGCCTGGATGTTCAACGGTGGTTTGCAAATTTTGAACAGTGGTATTGTTCCTGGTAACCGTAACGCTGATAACATTGACCAAGAATTGGAGAAGTTTGAGTATCTCTTATTCCCATCAAAGTCCATCAAGACTGATGGTGTCAAGGCTGTTTCTGTCACCTCTTTCGGTTTCGGTCAAAAGGGTGCACAAGCAATTGCCATCAATGCAGACTACTTGTATGCCGTATTGTCCAAGGATGAGTACGAATCATATGCCAAGAAATTCAACGAGAGACACAACAAGGCCTACTCTCATTACCACAAGGCATTTGTCACCAACACCTTGTTCAAGAGTAAGGAGCATGCTCCATACACTGAAGACTTGCAAAACCCAGTGTACTTGGACCCATTGGTTAGAGTTTCTAAGGTCAAGTCCGGAGAATTGGAGTACACTACAAAGGGTGTTCAATCCGACTCTTACATCTCAAAGAGTGCTAAGCACACTTCTAAAGTGTTGTCATCTTTGACGTCTGACGTTGGTGCTAAGAATGTTGGTGTTGACGTTGAGTTGATCTCTGCAATCAACACTGAGAATGAGACCTTCATTGAGCGTAACTTCACAGCCGCGGAGATTGCCTACTGTAAGTCTGCTCCATCTCCACAGTCCTCTTTCGCTGGTACTTGGTCTGCAAAGGAGGCCGTTTTCAAGGCCCTTGGTGTTGAATCTAAAGGTGCTGGTGCGCAATTGAAGGACATTGAGATTGTTCGTGACTCTACTGGTGCTCCACAGGTTGAGTTACACGGTGATGCTGCAAAGGCTGCTCCAAACGCCTCTGTTAAAGTCAGCATTTCCCACGATGACTTCCAATCTGTCGCTGTCGCCATCCTAAACTAATTGTTATGATACGATCTATACCCTCGAGGTTCAGAACACACAATACGATATTTATTCTGTTGATAACTATTTCTCTGTAGTACACCAAATCAAGGTTGTTGAGCAAACATGTTGGCCTCCAACTGTTGGACCAGTTCCACCTGCTGCTTCGTTGGAATGTCGTGATCCTGTGGATGGAGGCTAGTAGTCTTGTTGTCTGCTGTGCCGGAAGTTGTATTTGCATGTGTGAGAGAGCTTGTATTCGTGTTTGTAATGTCGAATCCCGGTTGTGAAGAGGTCATAATGGTAGTCTTCTCCGCTGATGAGGACTTCTTGTTTCTGTTTCTGTTCCTGCAATTGAGGCACACTTTTCTCCCCATGTCCTCGTTTGATAGCTTTGAAGAGCACCTATTGCACTGGTTATTCAGCTCCAATTGTCTCCGTCTCTCTCTGTCCTTAGCCCTGCAACGGAAGCACACTTTGAATGTTTGAGAATCATTCTCTCCAGAGCAGTGCACACATTTTCCCTTCTCCAATCTCTGGGCCTTCGTGTTTCTCAAGTTGAGACGGCACGGTGGACACAGGACATATTTAGACTGGTCCTGTGGAATGGCAGTTCCACATCTTCTACAGCTTCCGCTAGTGGCTTTGGTCTTCTCTTGCCATCTTCGTGATCTCAGTCTCTGCAATTCACGGCAGTGAGGACACAGTTTGAACACCTTACCATTATATATGGCATAGTCCTTTTTACAACGTGTACACTGTGCTACACCAACACCACTTTCATTCACAGTGGTAGCCTGTTGGTGCTGAGGTGGCTGTTGAGTGTGCTGCGCCTGTGACTTATCACCAGCCCTTGGTCCGACAATGTCATTAACAATACCAATACCGACTTTCAAAGAGGGATCAACAGAGAACACCTTGTGTGAGTTTATCGTGGCCTTCGATGTAGCATTAGCCCTGGAGGTTACAGCAGTTGGCCCTGACTTGTGGGAACCCTCTTCATCTCTACCCTTTGAACCATTCTCGGCTGCTTTCTTGTCTTCAGCCTTCACCTTCACATTCTCTTCGTGTTGCTCAAGCACTGAGCTGATCGCAGCAGTCTGTTCCTCGTCCATTGATGTGTTCCAGGCTTCAGACAAGATGAGATGACAAGCGTGAAAGGGCACAAAACCTTGGTTATGAGTCCTCGCAAAGGTCCAAAGAGGGAAGGAAGGCTTTTTCAAAGCATCCGTACATCACCTCATCCGTACATCACCTCATCCGTACATCACCTCATCCGTACATCAATTAATCCGTACACCATTAATCCGTACACCATTAATCCGTACCACTACTAATAATACCGGACTATTACATTCTTTTTACGGTTTATGTATATATTATATATACTGGTGTTGAGAACTACTTTTGGAACTTTGCTAGTGATTCCAATAGAGATGCAACGTTACCTCCCTGCTGTTGTTGTTGTTGTTGTTGTTGTTGTGGTGGTGGTGGTGGTTGAGACTGTTGTGAAGCTTGTGGATGTTGACCGGATTGTCCAAACGAATTCAACAACGCGCTGATAGCACTGGTTGGAACCTGTTGTTGATGCTGAGGTGGTGGGGGCTGTTGATACTGTTGGTATTGTTGTTGTGGCTGATATTGTTGTTGAGGTTGGTATTGTTGAGGAGGAGGAGCATATTGCTGATGGTATTGCTGTTGAGGTTGTGGTGGCTGTGGATATTGCTGCGGCTGTTGTTGCTGTCCAGCTAAGGCAATCAAATTTTGGATAGCCTCTGGTGGTAAAGAGCTCAAAGATTGTAGCAAGTTCTGTTGGGACATTCCACCAGTGTTACCGTACTGCGCCTGTGTTGGTGGTGGCGATTGCATTCTTCCATGGTCGTTACGGTAACGTTCATCAGGCTCGCCTCTCCGGTAATCTTTATCATCATAACGACCACTGCCATGATCACGGCCGTGTCTTCTATCGCCTCCCCTTCTATCGTCATAACGGTCATTATAACGATCACGGTCACGACTACCACCTGTAGCATCACCCCATCTTCCACCGCGTTCACGTTGTCTTCTAGATTCGTAACCACCATAGGAGGCGGAAGATCCAGCACCAGCATTTGAACCAGTCTTTTCCTTTTCACGAATGACAAGGTTCAAGGCATCGTTGGTGTTCAGATCCAGATACTCATCGAATTTGAGGGAACCTTCTGGAGTCTCTTGGAAGATCTGAACATCCAATCCACCGAAATGGTTGATCACAACAACACCAATCACTCCTGAATAAGCTGCCTCACTAACCCTTTGCGAAAGGTCATCGCCGTGTCTCAACTGTGTATACTCGGTAACTATACCATTGTTCTCAAAAACCCTTGAGACTTCTCTGGCTTTCTCCATGCCCGCATCTGGTTTGACCAAGATTTGACACTCTAACTTCTTTCTCCTTGTTGATCTTGAAGAAGTATTGTTCTCATCTCTCGATCTCTTTGAAGAACGCTGATGGTTATTTAATTTTGCATTTGCCATCTCCTCAGGTTTAGAGTTCTTTGCAATGTCCAAGTTCAAAACTTTGTTGAACAACGGCACGTTACTCTCACCTGCTATTGCCCTTTCAACTGAGTCTGAATTTTCAAACTGGACAAATCCATAAGCTGTTTTCATAGAGACTTGAAGTATCTTTCCATACTTACGGAATATTCTCCATAACTCACGTTTTTGGACGTGATTACTTGGGATATTGCCAACAAATAATCTCGAATTGGTTGCATGAGGATATTTTGTATCGTATTTCTGCTCCTCATGTAAGAATTGGCGGTACTCGGCACGCTCTGTAGATGACATCGGTGATGAGAGATCGGCTCTATGGGTCGGTGACTTTTCTAAATCATTAAAGCGGTGCGGAGCATAGTTTGGCTGTTGTTTTTGCTGTTGCCCTTCAGCTTGCTGCAATGCCAAAAGCTCTTTTGCGACCCTTTCCTGTTGTTCATGAGCAGGTAACTGTAAGAAAGAAGGGTCCTTCAACAGTCTATTTGTGAGCTCATCGAGGAGGGGGTTATTGGAAGGTATTGTTGTTGAATTCTGGACCGTAGCCTGAGGTTGAGGTTGAGATGAGGTGGTGGATGAAGTAATAGGTTGAGAGGTTGTAGTCGAGGCTTCTTCTTTATTGTCGGTTTCTAATTCAGCGGTAGGGTCGTAATCCTCGTCATCATCGTCCTTGGCATCTTCAACATTAGGTGTGTCTTCAGATTTAGCAGGCTCTGTAGGCTGGGAGTGCTTGGTGAATTCGGTGGGTTCAGTGGGCTCTGTAGGTTCTGTAGGCTTTGTAGGCTCAGCAGTCTCAGCAGGCTTAGTAGGCTCAGTAGGCTCAGTAGGCTCAGTAGGCTCAGTAGGCTCAGTAGGCTCAGTAGGCTCAGTAGGCTCAGCAGGCTCAGTAGGCTCTGTGGACTCGGTAGGCTCAGTAGGCTCAGTAGGCTCAGTAGGCTCAGCAGTCTCAGCAGGCTCAATAGGCTCAGTAGGCTCACGGGTTTCAGGTTCCCCTTGAATGCTCTCAGGCTCATAATCTTCAGGCTTGTACTCGTCAGGCTCGTACTCGTCTTGATCCTCTGCCGCTTCTCCCTCGTGTCCATCTTCGTCAGAGGTGTCTTTATCATCGTACTGCGGAGCCTCAGCGGCCTCCTCCTGTACCCTTCTATTCTTCTCAGCCTCTGCTTCTTCTACTTTAGAGAGGTCAAATGCATTCGGCTCAGCATCAAAGCCATAAACATCGTCGTCAGACATTGCCGCTCTTTTCTTTCCCTGTGCCGCCGTGTTGTTGTCTGCTGAAGGAAACATGGACTGGTTTGTTTTGGTTTTGGTTTTTGGGTTTTTGTCCTTTTTCCTTCTCGCCGTTGTTCGCCTTAGTTTGTTGAAAAAGTTCGCGAACTGAACAGGAAAATTTGTTCTTTCCCTCTCTTTGTTCGCGTCTGGTTACGTAATCATTCTACTGGAATTCAGAACATTCCGAAAACGGTGGGAGAAACAGCCACTTTTCCTCTCTCCGTCGCCTCAGCCGCACACAGGCGACAAAAGCATTCACATTTTCCCCGTCGCTGATTGGTTGGAATCTACACGGTCAAAAAAAAAAACATACACACGAAGCTGAAAGCTCCATCTCGATTGCAAAAAGGGAAGAATATATATAAGGTCATTAAAAAGAAAGCTGTAGAACTATCACCACTGCTTCAAGTGCGTAATTCCATCATTTGTTTTGTATGTGTCGTTAGAAAGAAAGCAATGCAGTATACCCAAATACCCCGTGCTATTGTTTCTTCTCTTTCTTCTCTTGTTGGTTGTACATCGTCTCATCTTCGTTGTTGATGCTGTGTGCCGGACATGGCATCACAGAGGAGCCAGCAACGGTGACAAACGCCACCGCAAACGTCGTGTAGAACAAGTTGTTTGTGAATTTGGATCTAACAGCTGCTCTCATCTCGTTACCCTCCGCACAGAGCTATGCAAACCTTGGTTGTTGTAGTTGGAACCGATCGCTCTCGCTGGTATTGAAGAGGATTTAAAAATGGTGAGACTTTGCAATTGTTTTCTTTTTTCTTCTTCTCCGGCGCTGTGCGGACTTTTCGGGGGAGGCCCACGGGGTTTGGCAGCGTACGCTATAAGGCCAATGTTAGCTGTATCACTCACTACTCAGTGCTATATAACGAGCTATAAAAGCATACCCCTTTAGGGGATCATGGCAATGGGTGTATTAGTACATGGTACACACCACTGTGTGTCTACTGGACACCCGAAAAGGTTGCGTTCCACGATGTGATGTGTCTGTAGATCGGTCCCTCGTTGTCGAGCTGAGAGGCCTCGATGGCCTTCCGTACACTGTCAACGTCTCGTAGAGTGTCGTCGTTGGCGACGGCACGATCCCGTTCACTGGCCGGTTCCTGCTTTGTAGGCCTTTCGACTTGGAGCTTGAATTCCCGTATGGTCCTGTAGTGCTGGTTCAGAGTCGGGTTCTTCACGTCTTGCGGAACGTACTCATCTCCGAAGGACATCAAATCTTTCAGAACAAGCCTGGAGGCGTCTTTCAGCTCCTCTTCAGGCTCCGGCTGTGTTTCGAACGCATTCGGAATTTGTCGTAGGTCGTCCAAGTACGGTAGCCTGTGTAGATAAAATCCCTCTGGTGAGTGTACTTTGGATCCCGGGAACAGCTGCCTCTTCGCAGGTTGTAACGCATAGTAGAACGGTTGCGATCCCTTACGCAACTTACCAAACAGTATAGCAACTTTAGCCTGTGATCTGAGACTAAAGTACAGTGCGCTGAGAGTCCTCGTTGAGCCTTCATAGTCATCCTCACTAGGCGTTAGAAATGTTGAGCGTCCAGTGACGTAGTGCGATTTGATGCCACTTCTCTCATCCTTGGTGCCAATAAGCCTTAAAAAGCTAGCATATTCATCGTCATATTTGTCCAGGTCTTCGATCTGTTCCTTGGTAACTGGTATTACATCGCCGTTCACTCCAACAGGATATCCCTTTATCGTTTGATCAAAATCGCCGCCTTTTGTCTCATCAATGTTCCTTTGCAAGGTATAGACGTTCTTTCTACCGTGCTCATCTTCATAAAGCCATTTGCTAGGTGCAGCCTTTTCATGGCTTATAACGGAATAACCCTTAACACCAACAACAACTTCTTTTGTAGAGCCAAATCTCATTATAAAGGGACATTGGAATTGCACTCTCTTTATTTCCTTACGTCTTCGTATGCGTGATGCAATATCCTGAACATCAATCGGTTTAGTACTCGGCCCATCAAACATAGCATCCGAACTATCCTCGGGATCACCCAATGGTGGTAGAAACATTAGCTCAGAGTACAACTCATTGGAAAATGGTTGCTCCTTGGATGTTAAGAAAAATGGAGTGATAGTGATTCGAGAGTCATCGAGATCAGCACAGATGCGTCTTATCAGGTTCTTCTGATCGACGTCGTTCACCTGCACCGGTGCATCGTTATCAGTAAACAAGAAGATCTTGTTAATTGTATATTGCTTTTGCATTTCTCTTTTAGCGAAGAATTCGTGTTGTAAGGTTGTCAATAGTTCAAATAGCGGGTTATTGGATCTCTCAACGACAGTACGTGGCTTAAACCTCTCATCCAACGGCACATAGGGCGCTTCAACGTCGTTGCTGCTGACGCTATCACTTAGAATATCGTGTAACAACTTCATAGACTTTACGTTCAAGTCACGAAGAGGGAATACACACTCAATCCCCGGTTTAAGATCCTCAGTAGTTTTCTTCCCATTGAACATATACAATCCATAGCCCGTATTTGGAAGAGTGATCGCACTGTGTGCCATGGATTGTTCCAGTGCCTCCAGAATCGTAAGCAAGTTTGATTTACCGGTTGAAGCATTTATGAAATGGATAGAGTCTGTGAGCTCAATGGCAAAGATTATTGCTTCGTGGGTTTCATGGTTTGTCTTCGCATCGGAATCAGCGTATTCCTCACTCATCGCTTCCTCTGTCTCTCTCCTTCTCTGTTCTTCTCTTTCTCTTCCTCTCTCTTTATCTCTATCACGCAGTGTTGTCGAATTAAAACTAACTAAGCTGAAACCGCTTTGAAGACGTATTGAAGCAGAAGTGTAAACACAGATGTTAGGATGTTTGGGTGTTCGGGATTTTATTAAATGTCCGGATGTACTATGACACAATCTGTTCTCATACTAAGAAAGCAGCATTATGGTCATTACCATGTTGTTATCTATCAATCAGAATTGGAGTGTTTTCGTAGTATACCAACGTGTGTACATTACATTCAGGCTGTAGCCCGCAGATTGTGAGTAGTGCTACATAAGTTACCTTCTGTCAATGTAAAGAGGCTCTGGCACCCATGCTTAAACACACCTCCACGGCTTATTCAGTGCTAAAACTACTGTCTTTCTTGGGGTGTAACCTCTCATAATCTTCCGCATGTTTCCTCTGTTGCCTCTGTAATCTTTCCAGGTTTTTCTTGTCTCTCTTTATCTGTTGTTTCTCTGTTCTCTTGTTGGCCCAAATTCTCAGTCTTTCACCGTAAAATGCAACAAACATTGGGAACGGAATACCCGTGGCAAGCATGAGAAATGAAAAGATGGAGCTTCCCCATCCATAGCCAATGTGTCTGAACATGATTGGTGCAAACAGTGGGAACGAGAATCCAAAGAAGGATCTGAAAATGGACGCAGCTGCAATGGCAGATGCTGCAAATCTAGGACTCATATCGATCAAGTAGTTTTGAATACAGAAAAAGACAGGAATAACACCAAATGCGAATATCACACAGCCCACAGCAGGGAACAGCCAGTGCATATGTTTATCTGCACCCCAACCATACCAGAAGAGACCACCACTGCAACAGACAGCTGCAACAAACAGGTACGGCATACGGTACTCAGGCTTGGATACCCCACCATTCTTCTCTGTAAGTCTACGGTATATGTAGTCTGCACACTGTTGAGTGACAATGATCCCAATACCGTAACCGATAATCATCGTCACGTACATCAAACCGACAATACCCGAGCTGAACCCATAACGGCCACCCCAGTTCTCTGGGAATGTCACGATAAGTATATATAGACATCCATAGGCAATTGCCATGAAGGTTCCCAAACCGAAAACCATAGGATGCGTTAACAACATCACCACTGGTCTAGTCAAATTAGCCTCGAATTTACCAAGGATGGTCTCCCCTGTAGCAACCTCGTAGATACAGTGCAAGTTCTCGTTTCCCGTGAGTTTTCTCAGCTTCTTTGCCTTGTTCTTCAACAGCTGTGGAGCATACGTCTCTTCGAGACAGATAGTACCGTATCCTGCAATCACACCGTTAAAGATGACCAAGACCCAAAAACACCATCTCCAACTTACACTGTTTACGATGAATCCTGCAATAAGAGAACTGATACACGGGCCCATGGTTGGGCCCAGAGAATAGATTGAGATGGCCTTACCACGCTCATCGTTGTTGAACAAATCACCAACAACACCAGCACCGATCGAGATTGGAGCACACGCACCGATACCTGCTAGCAGCCTGAAGACACACATCTGTGCCGTATTCTGAGACAGTGCACAGCCAATGTTAAAGCACATGAGCACCCACATTGAGATGTCCATCACAGGCTTACGCCCGTACATCTCAGACAGTGGGGCAATTAGCGGCGAGAACAGAGCCCATGCGAGGATAAAGATCGACACCATCAGGGACGAAAGAACGCTGTTTGTGTTGTCAAAGTCTTCAGAGATGTATGACACTGCTGGTGAGAGCATCGTAGAGGAGAATGGCCCCAGCAGTGTGTACCACGCAGCGACAGCACATGAGTTCCATTTCCTGGACGACTTCCAGTTCCTCGGGTTCTCTGGATCATCAGGTCCAGACCACGTCACCAGCTCAGGGTCAACACCCTGGAATTCCAGCCCATCGTCCTTCGTCGGCAGTCCTTCCTCGTTCTGAGGCTCATTCTCCGTTTCCCTGGAGATGTTCTTCTCCAGGTCGTCCTCCTCCGCGTGGATTCTCTCGGTAAGAGTCGTCAGAATGGTTCCTCTCGTCTTCGTCCGCTGTAGCGCAATCTGCTCAGAGTCCATGTCCGGGTACAGGTTACTCTCCGTGAACTCCCTGTAAAGAGCATCATCCTCTTCGCCCCTCATAGGGTTCGGGTTGAGCTCAGACACTGTGGTTACCCTGTGCATTGAGTGTATTGAGCCTGCATCGCTGCCAGAGGAGCTGGTGCGAGAAGCCGTCGACGTCGCCCTCGAGACGGACGACATCCGAGTGGAGAGTCTTGACAACGAAGGCATCACTATGGCGAGAAAAGGAATGGAGAAACAAAGACGCTGGTTTAATACCGGCTTCTGTTGCTGTTGCAAGCCTGTGTTTTTTTTTTTTTGTATGAACAAAGACACATCAAAATAACTGCGATCGGCGGCGCTTAGCAGACAAAATATAATTATTTAACCGTTTGCAATTGCCGCTCTTGGCGATAGTCCCGTGGAAGCGGGGTCTTTTCCCTTGCGGCGGTTACGTAAGGATGACTAATTGCTGGTGTCTGGGTGTTGGGGTGTTGGGGTGTTGGGTGCTGGGGTGTGTGGGTGTGTGGGTGTCCAGGTGTCCGGGTTTATCATGACTCTATACCAGCCTCTTTCCGCTGCTCTACTGCTCCAATTAACTTGATAAACTCCCCATGTGTACGTGTTTTATTTGTGCTTCTATGGACAACAAACATAGCTCCCAACGCTGATGGCCAACAGTTGATAAACCTCAGGTGCGCCAGCTTGAAGAGTCCCACTGCCCTCCCTCCGCCAACGGCATAAATGATGAGACGATTAGGCACTGGCTGTGCTAGTAGTCTGTCCGGAGGCACTGTTCATGTGCTCGTTCTTTAGTTTGGCGTTGTAATTGGATGCAGCAGTATCAGCTTGCTTCTTCTGCTGTCTTTGGAGTCTTGCAAAGTTCTTTTTATCCCGCTTTGCCTGTTGCTTCTCCGTTCTCGCATTTGCCCATATTCTGAGCTTCTCTCCATAGAACGCAACGAACATTGGGAACGGAATACCGGTGGCTATCATGAGAAATGCAAAGATCGAACTACCCCAGCCATAGCCGATGGCACGGAACATGATTGGAGCAAACAGTGGGAACGAGAATCCAAAGAAGGATCTGAAAATGGACGCAGCTGCTATGGCAGAAGCTGCAAATCTAGGACTCATATCAATCAAATAGTTCTGAATACAGAAGAACACGGGGACTAGGCCAAAGGAGAAGATGACACATCCGACGGCAGGGAATAGCCAGTGCATGTGCTTCTCAGCACCCCATCCATACCAGAAGAGACCACCACTGGTACACAGGGCAGCAAAGAACAAGTACGGCATACGGTACTCAGGCTTAGGCACACCTCCATTCTTCTCAGTAAGCTTATAGTATATGTGATCTGCAGTGAACTGTGTCACAACAATCCCAACACCATACCCGATAATCATCGTCACATACATCAGGCCGACAATCCCTGAACTGAAACCATAACGGCCACCCCAGTTCTCTGGGAAAGTGGTGATTAAAATGTACAAGCATCCGTAGGCAATTGCCATGAAGGTTCCCAAACCGAAAACCATAGGATGCGTTAACAACATGAGAATAGGTCTCGTCAAGTTAGCCTCGAACTTACCAGCAATGGTCTCCCCTGTGGCAACCTCATAGATACAGTGCAAGTTCTCGTTTCCCGTGAGTTTTCTCAGCTTCTTTGCCTTGTTCTTCAGCAACTGTGGAGCATACGTCTCTTCGAGACAGACACCACCATAGATGCCGATGACACCATTAAAGATCACTAGGACCCAGAAGCACCATCTCCAGCTGACGTTTGAGACGATAAAGCCCGCAATCAGGGAACTGATACTTGGCCCCATGGTGGGTCCTAAGGAATAGATGGACATTGCCTTACCACGATCATTGTTATCGAACAAATCACCAATAACACCAGCACCAATCGAGATTGGCGCACAGGCACCAACACCTGCTAGCAGTCTGAAGACACACATTTGGGCTGTGTTCTGGGCTAAGGCACAGCCAATGTTGAAGCACAGCAAAAACCACACAGAAATGTTCATCACAGGCCTACGTCCATACATCTCGGACAGTGGGGCAATCAAAGGTGAGAACAAGGCCCATGCCAGCAAGAAAATGGACACCATCAATGATTGCAGAACCGAGTTCTCGTTGTGGAAGTCTTCTGAGATGTATGACACTGCTGGTGAAAGCATTGTCGAAGCGAATGGCCCCAGCAGTGTGTACCAGGCAGCGACAGCACATGAGTTCCACTTTCTAAGCGAGCTCCAGTTCCTCGGGTTCTCTGGATCATCAGGTCCAGACCATGTGACGAGCTCAGGATCAACACCTTGGAATTCCAGCCCATCGTCCTTTGTCGGCAGGCCTTCCTCGTTCTGAGGCTCGTCGTCTGGGCTCTTTGAGATGTGCTTTTCAATGTCGTCAGTCTCTGGGTTAACCCTCTCGCTGAGGGTTGTGAGGATAGTTGCCCTAGTCTTGGTGCGTTGCAGAGCTATTTGCTCTGCATCCATATCTGGATATATACTCTTTTCGCTGAACTTCTGGTACTGGGCATCATCCTCCTCGCCCTGAATTGGATTGGGATTGAGCTCAGACACTGTGGTCACCCTATGCATGGACTCTGAGCTACGCTGTGTGCGTGTGGACGTTGTCGAGCCTACTCTGGACAGAGTGGAGGTTCTGGAAGGACGTCTAGATTCAGGCATAGCTCTTGGTTTATAATATGTGTGTGTGTGTGTTCTATGAATCACCACGGGCTCTGGAGTGTCAGCTTCTACTTCAACAAGAGAGCAAACGGACGGAGAAGCGTGTGCCAATACTGAAACACCTGGTGAGTGGAGGGAAAGTGGACACCTTTAAATGTCTGGCAAAGTATCGGTGAACTGAGAAGACAGATGGCTAAAAAGGGAAGAGATCAAACATATCCATTCGAGGTCACATATAGATGACACACACTCCCCATACAAATGGGTACATTGGCATACATAGCCACGCTGCTATACATATCCACGCTGCTCATCTTGTCGGTCAGATACTGGGGCTCCGTCTGGTGCAACGCACAACAAAAGAGAGCATCATAGCCGGCTATCGGCTCTGCTGAGTACGGGCTCTCATCTCCGTCACCGCAATGCCCGTGTACTCTCTCTTGATGTAAAACAGAAGCTACGTAAGGTAAATTGAAGACAGCCATGCACTGTCGGCGTTTTGGCGACGCTTTCCCTCGTAAACAACTGTAACAAACCTCCGTCCAAGTACGGCTGTTACTCCAAACAGGGGAATATTCGTGGAGCATTTAGAGCTTCCGGCCCCAGCCCTCATCAACAACGTTTGGATATGCAGAAACGGTCCGGTAGCTGTGGATCCCTTTGCCGTGATCTTGGGCTCTGCGTGGACTGCAGGGTTTGTCTGTCTGTGGGGCACAGGGCCGGCCTAGGGAGTGAGCACCGGCTGGAGTGTACGGATAGATTTGCTGTGCTGGTGGAGCTGGTGGAGCTGGTGGAGCTGGTGGAGCTGGTGGAGCTGGTGGAGCTGGTTAGCTGTGGCTTTTGAGATGTGTTCAGGAGGAGGATGCTTTTTCAATCGAAGAGCTCGATGAGAAATCGACGGATGCAATTGTGCCACGGTTGTATAAGCTGTGTCCTTTGCCTTCTTTTTACGCCTTTGATATAGCGAGGACTATATGATCTCGTGTATCAGAATCAGCACTGGAGAGCGGAAATCATTTGGCTCTGAGATCCTTCCGTCCCTCATTGAACACAGTGCTCTCCTCAAGTGAAGATGAGGGCTGGCAGCGTTTCTTTGCGGAAGAGCTCACCGTATGTATGATGATTCAACAGCTTTTGACACTCTCTTGCGATGTCGGATGGTAATTGGCCTTCTTTTTTCCCCGTTATTGCTCTTCACTCACTCTGTTTCGATAAATCTCCTTTTAGACCGATTATCCTTATCTGCATCTCTTGTCTTTGAAGCTTTGATCTTTAGTTTAACGGGCCAATTCATCGGAATCAGCTTGTGCCTCAGTAAAAGAAACACGGATGATTACACTCTACAGTAGACGGGCAAACTCAGAGGGTGCCCAGAATGAGAAGTTGAGGATCAATTGTACAGCACCAGGCCAGATATCCATCGCTTTCCTCTCCCACATTTGAAGAATCGGCTGTTAGCGTATTTCCACTCACAGACATTGGCATTCACACACCTTAGATTGGAACGCCTGGAAGGCTTTCCCAGTCCATTTGGCCTTCTTTGACACTAACAGATGAGCCTGAACGAGTGGAAACCTCACCTTCTATACATGCGTTACAATTGGGGGTTTGACGGCTAAACGCTTATTCCTGAACTCCGCATACTGTGAGTCGCATGCCACACCTTACGATACGAACACCAGCACAATTGTTCGTGAAAACCGGTCTCTCTTCTTTGAAACCTGCTGTGTCTGTGAACTATGATGTCATTTTGACACATGGTGCTTGCTCAAAGGCTTGCTCAAAGGTGCTCACCACGACCTCATTGAGCATAGACCAACGTCCTGTTATATAATCCGGGACCATTGTTGCAAAATCTCTTCTGCGCATTGTAAGCCATATGTCCCTTTTAATCCCTTGGCCATCACAAACGCTTGACAGTGTTGACTACACTCTATAGGGCATCTGCTGGCTTACAACTGTGCGATGCTTGATAATGCTCGATCTACGCTCTCCGATTATTTGTCACTTTAAGATAGCAAGCCGTGGTCTCAAAAGCTGTTCAAACCACGCCAAACTGGCCAATGTCAACACCTCTATCAATTCCTTCATCATAGTCAACCAACTGGAGGATAAGTTCGAAAGCGGAAATGCTCAAATGTCCACGCTGTTTGTTTCATAATCATTCAAGCTTTTTCCATCTAATCTACAAACCCCGAGGTCCATCGCGGTGATGGGGGAATATAAAGGCGGAAAATCCTTCGAGGGCAATAGCAATTTCTTCTTCTGCTTTCTTTAGTTTCTCCAACGAATCTTCAATTGATCAGAAGCAAATCAACGAACAAACATGTGCAGAAAGTGTGAATGCTCCATTTGTCGTATGTCAATTGATCCTCTCCTTCTTCTTCGCTATGACTGAAATCGTGACACTAACCAAGTTCAACTTATAGATAAGTCCTCATGGACAGGATGTGGAATGCACGTTCCAAGTGCTATGGCAGGAGTCCCAGAATCTGAATGGTGAGTAATTTCCTCTTCCCTTTCCTCGTGGCTCATCACTCGCACGTCCTTGTACGTTTTGCTAACCCAATTTAGGTGTACTTGTCTCCCAAAGAAGGATGATAAATACCCTCCAAAGGCTGGCACTGGTAAACCAGCGTTGTAAGTCTCATGGGCCCAATCTGGGGCCAATCAGGCTCAACTTTTCTCCATCTTATCCTGTTGGACCACTGTACTCGTCAGGAACTATGGAGTACCATTATATTGAATTAACAGATCCTTTTATCCTCAGTTTCGTAATCTCAGTCACCAGTAGCTCGCCTTGATCTCGGAGTTGAAAACTGGCAACCGCATCGCGATGTCTGGGTGTACGGGCTATCTCGGTTTGCCAACATTTTGCACGCTGCTTAGCTGGTCATCGAAATGATGATTTACAAGCTAGGAAATACCGTTAAGCAATGGTAACGTGGATGTATTGTTTACCTCGATGGTATCTTGGTTATTACTCCATGGGAAAATAGGTTTATTGTATCATTAACTCGAACTGTTTATAATACGGCTTATGTTTTTTTTTGCTTCCTGAGACCAGCATGATTACTTCAGCCTTCTTAGTATATGAGGGTTTCCAGTAGATTAACACTTGTCTGGATGTATAAATTATTATGTGGAATATATTGATAATGTTACGCTGTTATAGCAGCACAACGTTCAATCTCACTTTCGCTTCTCTACGAACTCAAATCAGATATTTATTGAGTTTGAAGGCGCACTCATCAGCCGAGAGCGTTGCTCGTAAATGGGTACACGTACCTCCGTCGCCTTGTACGTACTGTGATATTGACGATGGAGTCATTGGCACCTCAATCTGCTTGTTGAAGAGATATATGTGGCCATGAAATACACCAGAAGCATGAGCCTTGATACAGATGCCAGAACATGCTCTCACTTAGGCTATATGCCCCTAGATTGTTAGACCAAAGCCGGATTAGCCACACAACTATGCCTCACGCCTCGATTTGCCAATAGACACAGTACAATAGTAGGAGCCAACTCTATTCATCGCGTGTATACACATGCACAGTGCTCTAGTATACTGACTTTATACGCCTTTGTTGCTCAACGCTCAATTATGTAATTTTGAAACTACGTGAAAACTATGTGCCCTTGGAACCTTTGAACCATGTTCTTGAGCACACTTTGCATTATGAATACCTGTATATACCTCATTGTGGGCAAAACAAGAAACACGCTCTGCAACAACTGTCAGAAACCTCAACATGCACCTTGTCTTACACAATCAGTAGAGAAACGCCCAATACCACTCCGTACTGATGTAGAAAAACTTTATGAGCTGTGAAGATTCTCTGTATAGAGGAGGATCTCTCGTAAAAATCGTGCGACTTTCTTCACTTTCTAAGTATATCAGTAGATAACTGAAAGAGCACACAATAATGAGGTGATTGTTTGGAAAATCGTTAAAATATGGATAATATCCAGTGGAGCCGAGAGCAGGAGATAAGTGTACGTAGTGCATACCTTGAAGATTGACGACTGTTGGAGGACTAAAATGCTAGGTAAAGCCACGCTGGGGTTTACTACGCAAGGGATCCCCATAATCTTGTGAACACAGGATAATACCAGGGCATAAGCCTCCCCTTACGTAGCCCCATGCCAATGGATCAGGCGAGTTACAAGTTACACATAGGTCATATACATACACATGGAGAATGTGAAGTAAAAGAACTCACATGGCTGAATGGCAGAGAAACCAAAACCAACATAATAACGGTCACCGGGGTAGAGCCTCTCTGTCTTTCCCAATTGATCTACGACAACGCCAGAGTACTTAGTAGCTATGGTCAAAATCTAGAACTACGTATATACACTCTGTTTTTATGGCTGTGACGCACTTATTATAGTCTTCAAGGGCCAGGTGAGACCTACCACATTGGAAGAACCACGGAGCTGTTTGGCCAACCTGATTCAAAAACGAATAATATTCATCCGGTATACATAAACAGGTGGGAGATTTTAGGGCGTACCGTCCGTGCATTATATATTTGAAATATGCTGATTGTTCATAGTGTTTGTTCCTTTCTCTTTCCTTCCTGGATGTGAAGGTTTCCACTCGTCAGCTGTCCCTATGAACCATAGTCAATAAAAGCGTGTATACTTATATACTTTCCACGAGCATCAAACTTGTATTATACACTCAGTTGTGGTATACAGAGAAGATTAAACTTCACGCTCATTTGATGGGGAGCTCTGGAAGTTGGCAACAGCATTTCAACTGCTGTTGCCTCGAAGGTTGTAGAGGCCCTTGAAACATGTAGGCTATATGCTGCAGCGTGTACAACTCTTGAGCTATGTACGAATGTTTCAAAATGCCATGTTGATCTTTTCACTTACCAAACGCAAACACACACCAAAGGAAGTGTGCATCGAACATCTGGTATATTGGCGTAATTCAAATCTCCGTGGAATTGAGAAACAACGAGTTACGTGACCTCTGTTATGCAATTAATCTAAGCGCATTTGGAGTTTATACATTTCTGTAAGGTCATTTGTCCGAGAAGTTTACGTCTTAAGTGTGGTACGGGTCATCAACTTTGGCATCATATGCACCCAATGATCCAACAACGGCTCATAGGCACCATAGATCCTAATAGATATATGAGAGAGCGGGCCTCATAGATATTAAAAAATACAAGAGATGGTCTAGAACAACAGAAATCGACAACAACGATTTTCGAAGTGGACAGACGCATAGAGGAAAAAAGTAATTTCAACGTACAGCGACCTACCTCCCTGTTCTACAGCGTTCCAGCAGCCCAAGAGCTAAGGACCGTTGTCTTTCCCAGGTGGCAATGACAGACCTGGTGAGAGGGCCAACAATGCTTGGTTCCACAGGCAAATTGGCAACACCCTTATCACAGTAGCACTGGATAATCACCCGGTCAACTAACATCAACTGATCCCGTTTCATGTGGCATTTCAGCAGCGTAGTTATCTGAGGACACTCTCGCCCTCCACCTCGCGCACCAAAGAGGCTTTTCAAGGCAGCAGGAGCTCATCTCCACCGGGAAACTCATTATGGAATTGTGATTGATAGTGCAGGAGAGGCGGATTACAGTACGGTTGCGGATGGCCGATAACTTGCAATTGAACTTGCACCTAAAAACACACACACATACATACAAAAAGGTCTTGGGAGCGGTGGAGGGCCCCAAACGGTTTTCGAGTGTTCTGGGCCATTCGATTGGGTTGACATTTTTATCCCAGGCACTCTTCTTTCCGCTGTCGGCATTGAGTGTCAGTGCCAGCCAGCACGCTGGACCAAAAGCACCAATCGCTCTTTCAATGCACATCATTGGTCACTAAGCCAGTGCAAATAATTGATATTATTATTGGCTTGAATATAAAGTAAACCGTAACGAAAATAACCAAAAAGGGGATGAGGACATAGATGGTTGGAGCCAATCAAACGCAGAGTTTTCCTTCTGCTGCTAAAAACCCGCAGTACGACGGTTGGAGTCGTGCATAATACATAAGGGCCAGTGCGCCGAGGTGCATTTGTACAAGAGGGATTTCCCACAATTAGACTTTCTTTGTGCGTGAGACACACTGTCCGTAACGACTGTATGCCGTAGGGTGCATAGAGATCTGCGACTTGCGCTCACCCTAGCGCTTTGGGATATTAGTGCATATGTGAGCGGCCGGGTAGTGGCCCTAAGCTATGGGCTAGTGGCTACAAGTTATAGATTAGGCTGTAGAAACAGAGCTCTTTTCACTCTAGAACTGGAAGGAAGACACACGCACATACACACGGAGTGACCATCATCACCACGATTCCCAACTCACACACTTTCCACGCCCAGTCAAATTGCTGAGCGTACACTGAATAGAACGAGTCAGGCGTGGAATACCGAACAACAAGAGCCGGTAGTCGGGCACAGGAAAGCATGCATGGTAGTGCGTCATACCGACATGTTTACGCACTGTGAATGCACAGTGCGCATATCTAGCTGCTTCGAAAATTTTTTTTTGAAGGCCCACAACTCTAATTTTACTATGGCTGTTTCTATGGGAATTTTACTGTTTCCATCCCCTTGGTTGGCCCGTCGCATTGAGGGCTCAAGGTGAAGTTGTCAATCATAAACAGAAAACCACACACACATCGCTTTCCTCCTTTCTCCTTCTTTTCGTCCAATTCCTGGGCTTTTTGTTTTGTTCAAGGATCGATTGTGTTATCAGTGATATTTCACCACAGTACTCGTTATTCCAATTGCACTGAGCGGGAGAGAGTATCGTTCAAGGCATTGTTCTACTAAGCATCCCGATATCAGCTGACACTTCAGGGACTACCGAACTCTACATTACGAAGTTTGAATATCTGTGGAGAAAAGATTGGGACTCAAGGAAGGAGCCTACAATGAAGGATAAAGACGTGCAGAGCTCCCCGTCAGACTCTGTGACAACGATAACGAACAATACGCTGAGTCTGACGAGCTCCAACAACTCATCGCTTCGTTCATATACGTCATCATTGGCCGATTCCACAATGACTTCGAAGTCCAACAGGTCTATAGGAGCAAAGTTCAAGAGGGCATTGACGAGGAAAAGAGCAGAGTCTTTGAAGTCTCCCACTAGTTTATCGTTTGGCGAACAGCAGCAGCAGCAGCAGCAACACCAACATCAGCAATCGCAGTCGCAATCGCCCCAGGTATCGGCCCAGAGATCCAAATCTCTGAGAAACAGAAGCCTGAGCTCCTTGCTTCCTCCGTCTTTGATGACATCGAGCCAGAACTCCACGAGAGACAACTCCATAGCGTCCTTATCGGATTTTGAGATGGACTCTAGCCTACCACCTAGTCCACTACAGAAGATTGATGAGAACTCCAAAGGTGTATTCCCGAGCCATGTGGAGAACGTTAGAAAGCAGAGGTTGCTGGTTACCACTACGAAGATCTCAGATGAGAAATTGTTTGATCACATTGCAGATGATATCCTTTCGAAAGTTGCTCACGAAGACTCTGTTATTGAATGGAGAATATGAACTGTTCCATGACTCCTGTTACGACTATATGACTTTTAACCATGTGCTATTTTGCTATTATTCCCTTACACCACTATGCTGTTTTGATACACCTACGCAAGAGCTGGACTCTTGTTTCTTATCTTTGCTACACTGAACCACAGTAACTCGAAACAGAGTTATATTGTTATAGAATAGAAATCGGTCAATAGTCAATGCTTATAAGAAGTAATTCCGTGTGTAGTCTTCTCAGTCTCAACACTTATCCTCGAGTTCTTGTCGGCACATTACCCACACTTTGCGTAGCCCACAGATACCAGAGATCAACCCGCACGTGAGATAGACATTTGAAGGGAGGTTCAAGTTAAAGACATCAATAGAATCACACATGAAGTCAAACGACAACCTTATAAGATCCAATTTGGCTATGGCTTCCTCCCTTTTCAGCTGTTTCAACTCCTGTGCCAGGGTGACACCGGTATCCACAGGTGATCTATTGGCAAATTCTCTCATTAACTGGTGTCTCAAAGGTGTACTTCCAACGCTTTCCACAATCTTCTTGCTCATGATGCTAGCACGCTTGCGTACTTGGCGTTGGATGTCAATCTGCAACTGTCTCTCTCTGTTGGTCTCCAGTTTGACCCAGTTCTTCTTCAAGCCAAGTAGGATATCGGCGTACCATGCCAGCACACCTTGACGTACGACAAACGACTTGACCGTTGGGTTCGTCAGTACGTTGATCTTGAAGAGTAACTCCAACTCGTCAAAGATTCCATAGTACAAGTCTATGAAGTCCCCCAGGAATTGTTCGTTGCAGAAGATTAGATGGAAGTTCAGCAGAGATGGCGACTTGGTGAACGATTTCAGCGTCTCGATGAAGCTCTTGATCCGTAATGGGGTCCCGCCAAATCTCAAGGCATAACGGAATGAAGAGATGTTCTTGGTGGCTTCAAATATCTTCTTCTCCAAAGTCGTTGAGTTCAAGAAAAGCAGCAGTTTCATGTACTTCAGCGGCTCTCTCCAGTGCTCTCTCGGGTCGGGCGAGATGTTCTCAAACTTCTCATTGATGATAAACCTTCTGGTGTTTATGAGATGGAACTTGATCAAGTTCAGCGCGTACTGGGAAACCTTGGACAAACGATCTTTACCCGCAACTTTCGATAGCAGCAGTTTGAACAGTTCAATATTTGAGATGGCCTTTGTCGAAGCACCCGATTCACGCTCATCTTCAACGTCAATTTCAACATCGTCAGACACAACAGCTTTCAACGTCGGTGATAACTGTCCTGGTGAAGCCGTTGAGGAAATGTCCGTGGCTTTCTCCTTTGCGAAGAGTTGGATATTCAGCTCTCTGAAGCCCTGTGGATCGTTGAATACGTCGGGATCATTCAAATGAGAGACGAATTCCATGATTACACCGACTTGATTGACTGGCTGGATAAGCTCCAAATGCAAACGACAACATTGGCGGGTATTAAATGCCTGAAAGGCTGTGGTGGTGATGGAAAGTTCCGTAATCAGTAACCGGTATGACAGTTACGCTGGTGCTAGACCTCTTAGCGTAAATATCGGAATGTGAAAAATTGCAAATAACACCCGGACACCACGACCGCTAAACACCCAGACACCACTCAAACCCCGAAGGAAAGCAAATCTGGCGGACATTTTACCGTTTTCGGATACAAAGCCGGCGCATCAAATGTTTTCCCTCAGATTTGACACAATGCTTTGGTCATATTGTCGTCATTTCCCGCTCATAGAGCGAGGAAATACGCCTGTTTAGGAAGATAGCCCCCTTCAGATGGACACTACAAAGAGCAAGAGCGCTGCTGATGAAGTCACAGAGGAGTTGTTGCCCAGCGGGATGAGAGACTCGTTTGAGATTGAGGATGTGCTGCCTTCAGCAAGCGATTTCCATATTGACAGGAAGTTTGCCCTAACGCTGTTTGTGATATGGACTGGGAACTTCCTGTGCTCTGTGGACGGGACCATTGTGAGCACCACGATGTCAAACATTGCATCTGAGTTCGGACAGAGCGATATGGTGAGCTGGATTGCAACTTCGTATCTGCTGACGAGTACTGCCTTCCAGCCTCTTTACGGGAAAACGTCCGATATACTGGGTCGAAAGACGCTGTTGCTGTTTGCACAGTGTGTGTTCACCCTTGGAACACTGCTGAGTGCACTTGCAACCAATGTTGAGACGTTGTCTATTGCAAGGGCAGTTTCAGGGATGGGAGGTGCTGGAATCTATGCTTTGGCAAGCATAATAATCACGGACGTTGTTCCTCTGAGTAAAAGATCTATATTTGTGGGCTATGGAACCATCATAGGCTCCACTGCACAGATGCTGGGTGCACCACTAGGCGGTATCTGCATCGTCACCATTGGATGGAGATGGATGTTTCTCGTCCAGGTGCCCTTTCTTCTGGTTTGTATCGTATTACTAGCGTGGAAAGTTGAAGTTAGAGTGGAACATATACCTGAAGGTGAAGAAAGATTCTCACGGGAAAATCTACAGAGGATAGATATCGGTGGTATAGTAACTCTAAACCTGGCAGTTTCCAGTATCATCTTTCTATTTGCAGAGAATGAATCATCTTCGATGGCCTATAGGGTTTGTTTCTCCATGCTACTCGTCTTGTCAACAATCGGTTACTTCCTCATTGAGAAGTACGTTGCAGTTGAAAAGATTATAGACCCAGAGTTAGTAAAGGGTCAAATAGGAGTTGTGGGATTTACCAGCGGAATAAGTTCATTGGGACTATACATGGTGCTGTTCATAACACCTGTTTATTTGCAACAAGTCCAAGGAGTTTCTGTGACCAGAATAGGCATATACACAACGTTCTTCGTCATCAGCACTGCCATAGGCTCATTGGTTGCAGGTTATATCATCCGGAAACACGATAAGAGCGATGTACACACTATAGTTGGATCTATAAACACTTCGACAGTGTTCTTTGCTTTTCAAACCTTTGGGTTTGCCATTCTTACACTTTTGGTCTCCCTCGTTGAGCCTGAGACAAAAGGCTTAGCATGGAGAGTCGTCTATGTGTTCGGGTTGGTGCTTGCAGGATTTGGATCTGGAGGCTATAACGTTGGAACAGTGATATTCATCATTGGCAAAGTCGGGAAAAGGGTGCAGGCAAGTGCCAATACCTTATGCTCATTGATCAGACAACTAGGGAGCGTCATCGGGGTATCCCTATCGTTGTCCTCGTACTCTAGATCAGTAGCGTATGGATTACGTAGGTTCTTCAAAGGGCCCGATGAACACTACGTGGATAAGCTGGTTGGAGACTCCACTTTCCTCAAAGACGGCCTACCAGAGCAGTACGTCAAAGACGTCCTGCACATCTACAAGAGGGCAATTGCAAGCACGTTTATCCCATCATTTGCCCTGATAGTGATAGGATTAGTTGTCATGCTATTCTTGAACAGAAGGGTTACACACGCACACGCACACCAGTTATGAACCCTGCCCACTGCCCGGGACTTGTCGAGCAGGTGGCTCACCATGTACCACAGGGCCAAGACACGGCCATGTGGTGTGCACTGTGTGTCTTTTGTTCATTAACAGCACGATGTCAGACACGTTGGACTTGGGTCTGAACAGGGTACCCATGGGATGATTACATACTACAAACATCACATATTCACATCATATTCACATTCTATACACATTCTATACACTATACAACCATCATATAAACACATTCACGCACAATTGTACGAGCAAACGGCATCATCAAACGAGAGAAACGGAAGAGAACACCTCATTGCATGTTCACATCTGGGGGTAAATGTATCCCGTAGAACTGAATGTCCGGATGTTCATATCTAGGTACAAAAAGTATGCGTGTTGCCCCTACCAATATATGTGTTGCCCCTACCGCAAATTATGCAAACATCCATAACTTCAAAGGTTAAAATGCACTGTCAAGACAAGACAGTGTGCATCTTTGTTGATCGAAAGAGGCTGAAAGTCGAGGCCATCCCAGCATTCTGAAGCCTCCAAGACGGAGTACGTAAGGCTCAGCGTAGTATTCCGCCAAAAAACCACACCCGCACACGCAAGAAAATAGGAGGTGAGACAGATTCTCTTAGGGCGATATATACAAGAAATTCTTTCTCCAGGTACATAAGGGGGAATTTGACACCCTTGTTTGAATTTGACCCATTACTGTTGATAAAAGCCATCGCAATATGCCAGTTGAAGGGTCTTCGAGAGGTTCGACCTCTCAGTACTTGTCTCACAAGGAGGTTTTTGAACACTCAATGGCTGGTGGCGTGAGAAAGACCCATGAGGTTTCTCAGACGCTCTCGATCGACGAGGAATCTACGAAGGAGGTCAAGAAACAAGGGAAGATGGCCAGAATGCTCAAAGTCCAGCCAAATGACCACAAGCTCGTGAAGGTGCTGAAGAAGTATCTGAGGTTTGTTGGGCCTGGTCTCATGATCTCCGTGGCTTACATGGACCCTGGTAACTATGCCACTGATGTTCAAGCCGGTGCCACGGCTCAGTTCAGTCTCCTGTTCATCATCTTACTCTCCAACTTGATTGCCATCTTTTTACAATCCCTTTGTATCAAGCTGGGCTCGGTGACCGGGTTGGACCTATCGAGAGCGTGCCGTGAGTTTCTGCCAAGATGGTTGAACCTGGCGATCTGGTTCTTTGCTGAATGCGCCATCATTGCTACTGATGTTGCCGAAGTCATCGGTACTGCAATTGCCCTGAACGTGCTGATGCACATCCCACTGCCAGCAGGTGTTGTCATCACAGTGGTTGATGTCATCTTTGTCCTCATGGCCTATAGACCAGGCTCCTCCTTGAAGTTTGTCAGACTGTTCGAATACGCTGTGGCAGTCCTGGTTATGGGTGTCGTTATCTGTTTCTGCGTCCAATTGGCCATGATGCCACCTGTCAATGTCCGTGATTTGTTTAGAGGATTCGCCCCATCACACACCATCCTCGAGGGAACAAACATGTACACTGCCGTGTCCATTCTCGGTGCTACAGTCATGCCTCATTCTCTGTTCTTGGGATCAGGGCTTGTCCAGCCAAGACTGAGAGAGTTTGACACTGAGAACCACTACTACCATGTTCCAGAAGGTGAGGATCCAGAAGAGGCATATTTCAACTACAAACCAACAGAGAAGGCCATCAGATACGCAATGAAGTACTCCATCGTTGAGTTGGCCATCACTCTGTTCACATTTGCGTTGTTCGTCAACTCGGCGATTTTGATCGTGTCAGCTGCCTCTCTCTACGGAACACCGGGTGCTGGCGATGCTGATTTGTATGCTATTTACGACTTGCTATCCGAGACAATCGCTCCAGCAGTTGGTACATTGTTCATGGTTGCCTTGTTGTTTTCTGGTCAAAGTGCGGGTATCGTGTGTACCATTGCAGGCCAGATTGTGTCAGAAGGCCATTTGCGTTGGACCATCAAGCCATGGAAGCGTAGAATTGCTACTCGTGCCATCAGTATTGTTCCATGTCTTGTAATTTCCCTCTCTATTGGTCGTTCTGGGTTGAACGATGCGTTGAACGCATCCCAAGTGGTTCTTTCCATTTTGTTGCCATTCCTCACAGCTCCATTAGTATACTTTACTTGTAAGAAGTCCATCATGAAGGTTGAGGTTATGGATACAGATGAGATTGAACTGAATGACATGAATGGTGAGGTTGAGCTCAACAACGAGGGCCCAGCCGACAACGGCGATGCCAATTCTTTCAACATGACGAAGGATAAGAACATCCAAGTTGTCAATGACGAAGACGTCAGTGGTATTAATAACGCTGAAAGTTCAGAAACTACTGGAGCAGTTAATGAACGTGAAAAGAAATACCTTGATATGTCCAACAATTGGATCACGGCTATTCTGGGAATTCTCGTCTGGATCTTCATTTCAATTCTTAACGTTTATGCCATTGTTAGAATCGGTATGGATGGTATCTGAAATTTGGGATCAACACGTGGAAATACCTCTTATTACGACTGAGAGTGTGAACTCAGCTATTAGGAATAGTATTATAGGCTCGATTCCTCTCAAAATTGAGATGCAATAGTCACCCTGTGTGAAGAAGAATCTACGACTCGTGCATTATCAAGAATAAAAGTAGTTAAAAAAGTCCAAAAGTTCACTCACGTTAGAAGTATATATAAAAAGTTATGTGGTTTCATCTTTATCAGAAGAAGCTCACGAGACGTTTCCAGAGACAATTGTTATCAGTGGAGCCTTGTGCCTCTTCTGGCAAGCCTCTTGGAACCAACGATGGGTTAGCATCGGTTCCGTTAGAGAAGAACCCACCAAGAGTGGTTGTACTTGAGTAATAAATCGATGTGGTGTTCGTTCCATCAACAGACGTAACAATTGGAGTGGCAGAAGAGCTTGTGTATAGCGTAGAAGTCACCTGTACCGTCTGTGTAATAGTTTGATCAACTTCAGTGGAGGTTTCTGCTGTGAACACTTCACCATCAGAGTTTGTGAAGGTGAAGGATGCAACCACTGGCACCTTGATGACGGCAGTGGAAAGGGTAACCCCTGTGGAAACAGAGACACTAGCATCATCTGTTGATGTAACCAAGCAGCTAGAGTCGGTGACGGTGACAGTAACTGTTGAGACGGAAACAGAGATGGAGGTGGTGACGGATGCAGCAGTTGCAGAGACATCACCGGTGCTTGCGATGGTACTCAGTGTCTCAGTGGAGCCAAAGCTATTGATCTTGACAGCGTAGTTTGCACCTGCGACCGAGCTGAGCTCAATGGAAGCATCATTTGAGCCAGAGGCAGTACCAGCGTTGGAACCAGCGTTAGAACCAGAAACAGTGTTTGCAGCACCAGTTACACTAGCATCATTTTGAACGATAGTAACAGAGGTGGCTTCCACTGCAGTGGTATCAGCGAGTGTGACTGTTGTATAAATCACAGAAGTTAGCGTAGTATCTTCAACTTGCTCAGTAGGTTGTACCGTGGAGTAGTAGGTGATGTACTGGGTGGTCCATATGGTGGTTGGCTGGCCTTGTGCGTCATAAGTGGTGATTTCAGTGCCGATCTGTGTCGTTACAGCACTTGTAGAAGGAGCCGGAGTTGAAGCAGTGGTGTCAGCAGCAGTGGTGTCAGCAGGAGCAACAGTAGTTGTAGCAGCAGCAGTGGTGTCGGCCTCAGTGGCCTCAGCAGCTGTGGCCTCAGCAGCAACTGAGGAAGTGACACTGGTAGCAATGGTGGTATCGACATTCAAAGCAGCATCACTGGTGGTGACTTCAGAAGTGAACACATCAGTTGGTTCCGAGAGAATCGTAGTAACATCAACTGGCGTAACTCCAGCAGATGAAGTTGTGTCCCAGATAGTCACATTGTCTCTCTTTACAAGATTGTCGTATCTCTCAGCCATGTAGGCATTTGTCAATGGAAGGAGTAACAACGGGACGTATTTGAACAGCATTTGGTTTCTTGATTGGCGGTGGATTGGTGTGAATGAAAGACGATATACACTCTAATAAGCGACTGGAAATGGAGACCTATGATGATGGTAATAATAACAGAAAAAGGAATGGACGAGACTATTAAAAGCTCAACAATGTGGATAGATCTGGGAGGTTATAGGTTGTCGCACTTAGAAGTCACCTGAAGCTGGTATGTATTGTAACTGAACAAGGGTATCAAGTTTCAAAAGCATTCTTTTGAAAGAGAAAAAAAGGGTTAGACAGGTCGTTATAAATGAGATTCCACACTTTACATAGCCCCTTCCAAACGTGTTATACATCAGAATGCATTGGGTCTTGATTGAAGATGTAAGACATCTTGTGTAAACCAGTGAATCGTACCCATCACAGAGAGCTACAGCTGAGAAAGTTGTTTCGAAAGGGGATGTGTACCTGTGGAAGGTTTCTCCAAATGAAAACAAATATGCACCTTGCAGCATGTGTACCGTGTATATATGAATGCTGAGGCCAGAGAGAAAGCCTATATGCAAAAAAATACGGGTTTTTGTATGGGCGTGCGATGCCCGTCTATTTTTAGCTGCCAGTAATGCTACAAGTGTCGAATCACCTTCTATTCAGGGATTTCATGCTACAGAAGTGCTCCGTTGATACCTGTAGCACCAATTGTGTCCTTCTAAAGCTCCAAGGACGTGATATATCCCTTCACCTCGTCTGAAACCACCTCAAAAAGACTTCCAAGATGATCACTGACGCGTAAAAACAGCTCCAAACTCCCCCTTCAGTGACGCGTCGGTCTGCAGGGCCAAACGACGCGCCTCGAAAGATGGGAAGATTTCTCTCTTTATGGGCCAAAAAGGCTTCTTTGCTACAACGGAAACAGGTAAAGAAAGGATAGCACACGGTTAGAATGACGGGAAATGGTGGGTTTCGTAATTGTGCAGTCAATTGAACGCTAACAAGCGGCCTGTTTGTGTGTGTTTAGGTCGTCAAACAGAGCCTTCGTTGCTCTCACGTCGGTTCTCAGCCATGGAGATTGGCTCTTTGTCCAATTTTAGCACTCGTGCGCTTGTGCGATGGTTGAATTGTGAGGTTCAGCGAGTGCTTAAGCTGAGTAACCTGAGTGATTCGGTGTAGTTCAGCATGTTTATGGTTCCAGAGTGGCTTAAAGTTGTACCCATCCTCCGTACGTTGCAGGCTATGGACATTTGCATTGAGCTCTGAGACATTTACTGTGTAAGGTTCGAATATGTTGACTACGATGGACGATGACATCAACGACCAAATGATCTTGTGACTATGGAAGTGGGGGTGGTGATCGTAGTTGTGGTGGTGGCCATAGCCATAGTCATAGTCGTAGTCGTAGCAGCGCCTCCACCAAGTGACTCCACCAAAAGCGAAAGCCCACAAGCGCGGAAACGCCCACCGGGCATCGACGGCTTTCCTTCAACAACATCAACCGACCCTCTAGCGCACTCCCAATTGAGCACCCGAGCACTCAAAGCCGGCCAGAAATGGATATCGAATCACTACAGAAGACCAAGACCATTGGGATCATCGGCTTGGGAGACATGGGCCTGTTGTATGCCCGCAGGTTCTCTCAAGCAGGATGGACCGTTGTGGGCTGCGATAGAGAGGAAACGTACCAAGACACAGTGCTCAAGTACTCGGAGGAGCAGTTCAAGATCTTGAAGAACGGACATGCCGTGTCGAGGGTGAGCGACTACATCATCTACTCCGTGGAGGCTGCCAACATCAAGAAGATTGTGCAGCAGTACGGGCCTTCCACCAAACTCGGTGCGATTGTAGGCGGACAAACGTCTTGTAAAGCCCCAGAAATCGAGGCATTTGAATCATATCTACCTGAGGACGTTGAGATAATCTCTGTTCATTCATTACATGGGCCAAAGGTCAACACCACTAACCAACCATTGGTGATAATAAACCACAGGGGCTCCGAAGAGTCCTTGGAGTTTGTGAAAGCAGTGATGTCATGCCTTCAGTCAAAAGTAGTACAACTCACTGCTGAGGAACACGACAAGATCACCGCCGACACACAGGCAGTGACACATGCTGCGTTCCTCAGTATGGGCGTGGCATGGCACAAGACACAACTGTACCCTTGGAAAACCACCAAGTGGGTTGGAGGTATCGAGAATGCCAAAATCAACATCTCTTTGAGAATCTTTTCAAACAAGTGGCATGTCTACGCCGGGCTGGCCATCACCAACCCAAGTGCACATAAGCAGATCATGCAATACGCACAGAGTGTCACTGAGCTGTTCACCTTGATGCTCGAGGGGAAATCTGAAGAGCTGAAGTCGAGAATCTACAAGGCTAAGCAATTCGTATTTGGACACCTCGGTGAGGACCACGAGCTGTTACTGGACGACTCGCTACTACAGCAGTTTTCTCTGAGCAGACAGCCACCAGGCCAAACCACACCGAACTCTCACTTGTCGTTACTGGCCATCGTTGATAGCTGGTATCAACTGGGCATCGTGCCATACGACCACATGATCTGCTCCACTCCACTGTTCAGAATCTTCTTGGGTGTGAGCGAATACCTCTTTTGCTCTCCAGGACTACTGGAAAAGGCACTGTCTGATGCTATCGGTGCAAAGGCCTTCAGACCAGACGATTTGGAGTTCACCATTGCTGCCAGAACGTGGAGCAACATCGTGTCGTTTGGTGATTTTGCGCTATACAAGAAGGAATTCGAATCCACGCAGAAGTTCTTCGAGCCTATGCTGCCAGAGGCCAATCAGCTTGGTAACGAGATGATTAAGGTGTTGAACCAGAAGCTGAAGCGTTGATTGTATGATATGCTATGATAATTACGCTATGATAATTATAATGATTATATTGTAATTATAATTATAATTACAATATAATATAATATAATATAATATAATATAATATAATATAATATAACATAATATAACAACCTGTATGTACGGATGTATCGCCATGACACCTGTGCGGAAACATCCACCGAAGCTGCTTTTCTACACTGTCCACCAATCAGCGACAGAACTCTGGATCAATCGCTATCGACCGTTCCGAGACTTAGAGTGCAATGGGTAACGTCTTCAGTGGGATATTTGGTAAGCTGTGGGGCGTCAACAAGGAGATTCGGATCCTTATCCTCGGACTGGATGGTGCTGGTAAGACAACGATCCTTTACAGGCTACAAATTGGTGAAGTTATAAACACCAAGCCGACGATTGGGTTCAACGTTGAGACGCTGTCGTATAAGAACCTAAAGCTGAACGTGTGGGACCTCGGTGGCCAAACGTCGATAAGACCGTACTGGAGATGCTACTATGCCAACACAGCAGCCGTCATATTTGTTGTCGATTCAACGGATAAAGATCGTATTGATACTGCGAGTAAAGAGTTGCACACGATGTTGGCCGAGGAGGAGCTGTCAGACGCAGCTCTGTTGGTGTTTGCCAATAAGCAGGACGTTGCGGGTGCCCTGACTGCTGCTGAAGTGTCGAAGGCTCTGAACCTGTCGGATTTGAAGGATCGTAGCTGGAGTATCGTGGCCAGCAGTGCTATAAAGGGCGAAGGACTGACAGAAGGTCTGGACTGGTTGATTGACGTGATTAAAGATGAACAACTGTGAGTTGAATCTCGACTATTCTACCGTAAATAGACAAAGAAACAGCTGAGATTTGTATTTACATGATGGAGACGATATTGTATGTAGAAGGTAGAGCGCATCAACGCTTGACCCATGTTGGGCTCTTTCTAGCTTTAACCTTACCTGGTTTCTTTCTCTCGACTCTTCTGTGGTCTCTGGTCATACAGCCGGCTTTATACAGTCTGTTCTTCAACAATGGGTTATGGATGACCAAACCTTTGGCAATGGCATTGGCAATAGCACCGGAGTGGCCAGTGGCACCTCCTCCCGTGACGAGCGCAAACACGTTGAATTCAGACTCAGCCTCAACAACCTGTAGTGGGTACAGGATCTCCTTTCTATGCTTGAGCTCTGGGAAGTGCTCGTTAAGGGGCTTGCCGTTGATCAAGATCTCACCGGTACCTTTGACGAGGTAGACAGTCGCAGTTGAAGACTTACGGCCTCCAATGGTCTTGGATCTTCCAAATTGATCCAATTGTTTCAACTTCAGCCCGGAGTCGTTCATGTTGGTGCTTCTAGAGTACTTGGTCAACACATTCTCAACCTCCGTCGGTCTCAACTGCGGATCTATCGAGTTTAGCCTGTTGAGACTCTTCAGCAGTTGCTTGTGCTGTGACGACTTGAGACGTTCGTCTCCCGCCAACGGCTCGTACTGCTGTCTTGAAAGCCACTTGCCCTGCACGTTCGCAACACGAGGGAGATTCACGTACTTACGCTCCATCTCTTTCAGCTCGTTGAGGTTGTTCTCATGATCAGCATTGGGGGAGTAATATGTCTTGTGCTTCGGAATCACACGTTTCAGCTCCAACTCCGCGTTCGAGGTCGAAGGACGCAACGCCTTAAGCGTCGACTGGAATCTTACAAAGTTCTTCAGCATCTCTGCGTGTCTTCCCACCGTGTTTAACCTCTTCTAATCCGGATTTGAAACCGTTGATGTTCTCTCCTTCGTTGAGAAAACCGGCTTGGTGAAAAAAAAAGTTGGTCTCGGGGAAGCCGAGTTTCCTATTTGGGCAATTGCCTATTTCGGATATTTCTGTTAGTTTGCTTACGTAATGCATTATGTAATCTGTCAAAGTAGTACGGTATCATGGCACGTATCCCATTATAATACTGGTTATAAGTCCACACGGAGCCAGCACATATGCCTGGATGGTGGTCATTCTCCCAGTGTCCCGAGGTACTCCTTCAGCAGCTGTGTCAGATCGTCGTTCTTCCGCGTCACCATGAACATATCTTCAGGTGTGATGTTCTTTCGACCGGCGTGTCGGGCAAAGGCCTCGAGGTCCTCACCGAGCGACACCGCCTGGTTGTACGCGAGCTCGACCAGGGACGCCGTGAACTTGGGAGTCGCAGTGACTCTGGTGCCGTTATCGAGCCCATTGGCCTCTTCCTCCACGATCTGTGATATTGCCAGCCAAAGACGCGCTTTCAGTTGCTAAACCCCTCTATGTTAGTCATCTCTTGCAATGACACACAGGTGCACTTTCCAGAGTCCCCGTGGAAAGCAGCATGGCAGAGTCACTTACACTGACGACTTCTCTGTCCTCCGACGACAACTCCCTCATACCTGATCGAATGCGCTGTGTGGATGGCCCAGGCAGTAAGAGGAGTTGGTGCTTTGGTGGGAAACGCGCGTGTTGAAGTAGTTCGCGTAGGCAGAGACACCTAGGCAGAAACACCCGGACACCGGCCCAGCCCCGGCGGGGCTGTCCGCCCACCAAAACCGTGCCGGGCACAATGGCTGTAGCTTCACCTCGCCTCCACCAACAAAGGAGGTGTACACGGAGCAGGCAAGCACCAGAGATCAAGAGACAGAGCGACAATGACGAAGCAGTCGTGCAAGAGCATCTCATACGTGATCGGAGACGCCGCACACACCGGCTCGCACGTGTTGCCGGTCAATTCGATACGTTCTAATGGCTCTGATATGCTCTTCACCGCTGGTAGGGACGGTGCACTTGTTGTATTGGACAGCGACTCGAATCTCTGTAATCACATCCAATTGCACTCTGACTGGTGCAATGACGTTGTGTGGCACAGTGGGTCCACGCTTGTTAGCTGTTCTTCTGATTTGAGCGTGAAATGGTGGGACTTCGACACCAATGAGCACGGTCTTGTGGGCCACCATGAGGATTACGTCAAGGCGATGTGTCGTGTGTCCAGTGGGCATATTGTCACTGGTGGGCTGGACAAGGTTGTCAATACGTGGGATCTGGAGACCAGGTCCAAGCTGAGCTCCATAGATAACACGGAGGGTGAGATGGGGTCCATCTACTCGATGTCGAGTTTTGAACGGATGGTTACGTTTGGTGATAACAAGGCCACAATCTCGTTGTTTGATACTAGAAGCAACGAGATTGTTGGTAGGCTGGACGGACACGGTGACATCGTTAAGAGCCTGGTGATGGGCTCCAATGGCCAGTTGCTGTCGGGATCAAGTGACGGGACAGTGAGACTGTGGGACTTGAAGAGACTTGAAGAGGTCAAACAGTACACGTTTGACGGCTCTATCTGGTCGTTATACTCTGACGATGTCAATTTGAACAAGTTCTATACCGGCACAAGCCAGGGCACCTTATACGAGACTAACCAGGACTTGACCAAACCACTCGGGCAGGAATCGAGTGGGCTGTTGTCAATCTGTAAGTTCCAGGACGAACTTTGGAGCTCAAATATGGGTGATTCCACCATGAAGAACTGGAACGATGCTGCTAAGACCAAGCGAGGTGCTCCAGGACTGATCAAGTCAAGACTGCTGAACAACAGACGTCATGTGGTGACGCTAAGCACCGACAACGAGGTTGTTCTCTGGGATATCGTTAAATGTCGTCAGCTACAGAAGTTCGGTACCGATAGGGCATTCGAAGACGTTATCAATCAATACCAGACACAGGAGATCCTGCCAACATGGTGTCAAGTGATGATCCGTGCAGGGCAGTTGTTTGTTGTCATAAAGGAATCCAACTATACCAATACGGAACTGTACGGTGATGACATTAGAGAGTATGTCTTGTCAAGAGTTAACGATGATACGAGATACACCCTGGGTAAAATGGTCTTAACTTCAATCTTCCACAGGTTTGTTGAGTATGAAATGAACAAGGACCAAGAAATCAGAGAGTTGAGGATGAGGGAGATCAAGGGGAATTCCAAACTGAGTCTCTTGACAAAGTTCTCATCACACGATAACACACCACAATCCTCGTCATTACCGACACCTGTTGAAGAGTCAAAACAGAGTTATTTCGACGCAGTGGCAGATCAACACCATCAACAATCATTACAGGTTGATGACCATGCGGAGGACGCTCACCAACTTGAAGAGTCTGGAAACAAGCGAAGATTAAAGCTGTTTTCACGTAAGAAGTCCACTATATCAAGTGTTTCAACGGTAGAGGATGAGCGTGGAATGCAAGAGGATATTCCTGAAGGCTCATTGCCGGGATCAAACGAGACCTCTAGGAAGCCTTCAGAGTACGATGCAAACTCTTTAGGGACCTTAATTGTTGAAGCAAGACAATTCTACCAAAATGCCACAACGTTAAACTCCCTAAGCACATCACAATGGCAACCACCTCCAGTTGAAGAAGTGCCATTGATTGATGATTTGCCTGAAAATTTGCACATCATCGTTAACGAGTGTATTAACAATTCGAGCTCTGAAGTTGCGATATACTCTGATGAGCTACGAAACTTACAAATGACCACTCTAGAGAATGTCTTACCACGCTGGCTGGGAACCTATCTTCTGAAGAATCGTTGTATTGTAAAGGATTACTCCAAAGTTGGATTCACAATACAGCCTGATAGCACCTCTACTGGACTACCTGCGTTGGCTCAAGGTGCCGGCAGATTGAATGCCTATTCCATGCTTCGTGTCAAGAGAATCCTCACGTATATCACCGACCGGTTTGAGAAGCCAACCACTGAGATGAACCAGGGATTGCAAGCTGATAGTTGGTTACAAGTGCTGTGTCATGGCAAAGTGTTGGATAACCGTATGACGTTGGCTACTGTTAGAAGCGTCATATGGAAACAGAGTGGTGATGTGATTCTAACGTTCAGAAGACGTCAAAAGGAGACCAAGGCCATACTTTAATGAGTGTTGATCCATCAACTTCTGTACAATTCATCCATAATTGTAGCAGTAGTCGTGTAAACGTCAGAATGATGCAGTAAATTACAGCACGGTTAGAACTTTGTCGTGGCCCAACCACAATGGGCGGAAGTGAAAAAACACCCAGACACCAAAAGTGAAAATTTGCTCGGGAAACTAAACTTTCACCAGATTTGCAAATCATCACAGGATTCATTTGTTGAATAAACAACGATTTCGGGTGCTGAAACTAATAAGAAGAGGGAGACAAACAGGCGAAGAAAGACACGAAGATGGAACAAGACAACGATAGAATAGTGTCACGTTTATGGCGTGCCCACCGTACTGTGAAGGAGATGGTTCGTGATAGGGGATACTTTATAACCACCGAGGAGATTGAGATGCCATTGGATGAGTTCAGAGCTAGAATGTGTGATCAAATGGGCAGACCAAATAGAAAGAACATGAGTTTCCAAGCACAACCTTCCGAGGAGACGTTGTTGAAGTTCCCACAGATGGGGTCCATGTGGGTTGAGTTCTGTGATGAGCCAAGCGTGGGTATTAAGACCATGAAGAACTTCATCATTCACATCTCCGAGAAGAACTTCAGTGCTGGTATATTCATCTACCAAAATAGTATCACCTCCAGTGCCGCAAAGCTGATCCCAACCGTGGCACCAGCCACCATTGAGCTTTTCCAGGAGAGTGATTTAATCGTTAACATTACGCATCATGAACTGGTTCCAAAGCATCTACTCTTGAGCGACGAAGAAAAGACACAACTCTTGGAGAGATATAGATTAAAGGAATCACAGCTTCCTAGAATTCAAAGAGAAGACCCTGTTGCTAAGTATTTAGGGCTCAGAAGGGGACAGATTGTGAAGATCATCAGAAAGAGTGAAACCTCTGGTAGATATGCCAGTTACAGAATATGTCTTTAAAGGTTGCAACACATGACCGAATCTGTTATTCCAGTCCACCATGTAACGTTCTTCAGTTGCACTTTGGACGCTGGTGACACTTGCACGCCATTCTGGCCCAGAAATACAGGTCCAATGGTGATTATTAAGCTGTCGATAAGCGTAGGCGTAGTCTGTAGAAGGCTGTTGATGATCTTTGCGCCTCCTTCCACCATCAAGCTGTCGATTCCCAGCTGCTTGAGCCTGGTGAACAGGAGCCTGAGGTCTATCAACCCGTTGTTCAGCTCCATCTCTATGACATTGCCACCTTTGGATCTAAGGTACTCCACCTTGGAGTGCTCACAGCACTCCGTGGAGATGACAATCCAAGGAGCCTGGCCCACGCCTTCCAATGCCAGTCTCTCCATCTTGGAGCCGCAGTAGTCCCATTTGAAGTGTGGGTCTATGATGATGGGCCTAGGGCTCTGAGCCAGTGACAACTTACAGTTCAGCCCAGGGTCATCGCTCAGCGCGGTGTTCACTCCAACGAGGATCCCATCATGCTGTGATCTTAGGTACTGTGTCATCTCCTTTGTTTCAGCGTGAGAGATGGCGGTTCTTTGACCGATCCCTGAAGAGATCCTCGAGTCCAACGACTGGGCATATGTTAGCGTAACAAATGGCCTGTCTTGGATGGTGGTAGGGAGGTAGCTGTTGAGGAAGTCCATGAGCGCTTGGTTTGTGTATGGTTCAGTCCACGGGAGGTGAATTTTTCAAATTTTGTTGATAAACCTGATTACTTTGTATACACGGTTTCCAGTGATTGTCGTGTTTGCTTTGTATGTTTGTCTATTGTAAACAATAAACAATGGGACAAGAGACCAAAGCACGTGAAGCTGAGGTTGGCGCTAAGGATGTTGAGCACACAGAGGCGGCTAACGAGACAAAGGAAAGCAAAGCAACAGAGACTACAGAGACTACGGACAAACTCGCTGATGACCTCTTCACAAACCACGAGCTGCTCCCAAGCTCTGCTGACGCCAACGACCTCAACATCACCAAATACCTATCGAAACTCGACGAGTACCTAATGCTTCAGCAGTCGCTAATAACAACCTTGCAGAGTGGGTTCATCAACATATCAAGGGCAAACTACTCGTCGGGCGGACTGAGACCCTACGGCAAGGACCAATGGGACATGAACTGTTTGGTCACTTCCAAAGTGGAGGATGGCGTGTTGGTGAAGTGTAACACAGACCTGTATAACCCGCTGAACATGTTTGGGGTGCTGGTGCCACAGCAGCTGAGAAGTGCAAAGGAGGAGTTTGAGGGCTCCCTGGACAAGTGCGTTAGGCTTGTTCATCTGAGAAGAGAGCTGGATCAATTGTCATCATCATTGTCGTCTACATAGCGCGGTATATGGGAATCGTCATCATCATCATCTATATAGCACAGTCTGTAGAAGGGGCCCGGGCCAAAGTCTATATCATGTTATCTTCAGGTATTTGAGCCAGGCATTCGTTGCTGCTGATATCATCGTCAAGCTGTAAAACATCAAAATCAAACAAGACGCCATTCTTTATGGCATCCTCAACGGTGTCGAACTCCTTGGAGTTGTCAAAGAGGTGATCAACGTCAAATGTATCCTTCTCGGTCGACACAATTGGCGAGATACTCGACAAGAACCTGTGACGTTCCACTGGTGATCCGTAACACGGCGAGGCGTCGGTTACGGGCGAGATCCACAGGTCTTCAACCTCCTTCTTTGTAGATATCGACGTTGCCCTGGTCACAACAGAATTCCTCGTGAATGTTGAAGACACCAGCGACGTCTGTTGCGAGGTGGAACGCGGTATCGACGATGTTGTGTTGATCGCAACAGGTTTATCTCTGCTGTTGGCGTCTGCTGGTGCGTCCGCAGCCTGGCCATCGTAGTGTTCACCATCGTGGTGTTTGCCTTCACCATGCTCATGCTCATCGCCCACGACGGTGGTGTCCTCCGCAACGTGACCAATATGGTTAAACCCATACGGCGTGGAAATCTTGGGCCGTGGCTTCACGTACACCTGTTCACCGTTGAGCTTATCCAGCAGCCGTGATAGTCCCCTTTTCTTCTTCGTCTTGTTCTCCCCGGTGGGCATCAACAGGCTCTGGAAGTACGAGGTTGGTGGGAGCGGCGGTAGCTCCACCATCTTGGACTTCAATTCCGGCTTCTCAGAGTTTATCACCTGAACCTCCCTTGGCGCCTGAAGTTTGTACTCGTCCTCTATCCAAATCGATTCCATTGCCTCTTCGATCAACACTCTCGGTGCTCTCACTGCTCAACCTACAACCTGGTCAGAAATGAGAAACCAGTCACGTTATATAGGAACTTCCACCAAAGGTACGCGAAAGGGGGGTTAATTTTTTTTCCTGATTTGCAATATCTTTCGACATTCCTTACATACACGTACTTCTCGTGATGGAAGGGCGCGCGTTTCGTGTTTCACCTACAAATTACTGCAAGAACATTCTCCTTTTGACGATAGTTTTTTCTCGAGGATCGCCAGGTACAGCGTTCAGGGCACAGGGGGGAAATGATGAGAATTTGCCAGGTTTGTGGCTTTTTTAAAGCAGTTGATGAAAATTGATAATCGTTATATTATTATTGTGTTATTGTTATAATTGTAATATTATAACACGGCATCAATGGCGGCTATCTGTCTTCAACGTTTCAGTTTCTTTAGCGACGACAGGTGTGCTTGGAAAGCAGAAGAGTGTTGTACTTGGTCTATGGATCTCTTTAGCGCCACATCTCCCATAACGTCCTCGCCGATTTGCACTGTCTGTTTGTAACTGTGGTTTCTCAACCTCCCGTTTAGCAGAACCCTGAGGCTTCTCTTGGTACACTGTGTCACTGAGTTTCTCTTCAGTCCCAACTGCTCCATGACGGTATAGATGTCCTTCATCGATCTCAAGTATAACAGTCTTGAGGCGCCAGAACTTATAATCAGGTTTTGTTGTCTAGAGCTTCGGATAACGTTCAAGACGTTTGACATGAACTGACAGGGTTCGGCAAAGAGTGCTGAGTAGACTATCTCCAGATGGATGCCTCGTGAGATGGCATTTCCTATGGTCTTGTGCTTCAGGAAAGTCGGTAATCTCTTTGTGTAGTGGAAAGTTATGACATCAACTTCCATTGAGGAACATGCCATCAGCAACGCCCTTTCGCTCGTTGGTAACACCGCAACAATGTCATAGAGTTGAACGAATTTGTTTATGCTCTGTCCCTGCGCGGGTTCATCAACCACTATCGTTACCCTGGTGAATACCTTGATGTCTATATCTTTAAACAGCGACAGATCTATGGGATTAACAAAGCCGCTGGGAGAGGTGGAGTGCTGGATCGTGTGGTTGATGGCCGCGTGCGTATAGCCCAACGTTGCAAGTAATTGTAGCTGATTTCTAAGCAGCTGGGTGTTTGTAGTATATGGGATGTTTAGATCAATCATCATAGTTTCCTACCCTATTTCTTCACGCTGGAATACAACTCAATCTGTGCAGTTGATACCTCGTGTAACAGTCTGAGTACCAGAATGTGTTTGTGTGTGTGCATACACAAATTTTTTTTTCTCTCTCCGACGGCCCTTTCCTCAAAATAATTATCATATTATATAATTACCACATGACTATTATTAACTCTCAGGCAGGGTTGACGGAAAGGGAAATACAAAACGAAAATCAGCGGAAAAGACAAAGCTTCGCCGTATTGGACGAGTTCGTCTTCCCTTTCGCTTTGCCATTTGGCAATTCTGGCCGGTAGTGCAACACTGATACCCAGTCCACTGGATGTCTCATACCATCCATAATAATAATAAAAGCAATAATAACGATAATTATCATTCTAATGGCAGTAACACCGTGCTCAGCGCCACACCCGAACACCAGATCTCATATCCTGGTACACCCACACAAAGCAGCCGCCCACCGCCCGTCGGAAAAAAAAAATGCGCCCACTGTCAGCCAAAAACGTTCACAACGTTAAAAAAACGAAGAGGACACAAAAAGGGGGAAAAGAAAGAAAAAAACATCAAAACAAAATCAAAACAAAAGCACAACGCTGATTCCTCAAACAACCATCTTTTCCCTCTCAGTGAAGAAGACGCTCTCCACTGACTCTGGCGGTTTGTGTGTGCGTGCGTGTGTTGGAACTAGTTGAAATCAAATGAGTCGTACAGCCAGTGCCGCTGCTGTAGCAGCGTCCTCGGCTGCTGTGAACAACATCAATAATACTCAATCTGGAGCGAATGGCGGCGGCCACGGGAACACCGCTGGCGGAGGTAGCGGTAGTGGTGGTAGCGGTAGCGGGAGTAACGCCACGATTGTCGGGTTGCACTACAAGATTGGCAAGAAGATTGGAGAAGGCTCGTTCGGTGTGATCTTTGAAGGTACCAATATGATCAACCAGGTTCCTGTTGCAATCAAGTTTGAGCCTCGAAAGACGGAGGCTCCGCAGTTGAGAGATGAATATAGAACCTACAAGCATCTCAACGGATGTGCTGGTATTCCGAATGCGTACTACTTTGGACAGGAGGGACTACACAACATTTTGGTGATTGATTTGTTGGGTCCCTCGCTCGAGGATTTGTTTGACTGGTGTGGTAGACGGTTCAGCGTGAAGACCACGGTACAGATTGCCGTGCAGATGATCACGCTTGTCGAAGAGGTGCACTCTAACGACTTGATTTACAGGGACATCAAGCCGGACAACTTCTTGGTTGGAAGACCAGGTCAGCCTGATGAGAATAAGATCCACCTAGTTGATTTTGGAATGGCCAAGCAGTACAGGGATCCAAGAACCAAACAACATATCCCATACCGTGAAAAGAAATCGCTAAGCGGAACCGCTAGATACATGTCGATCAACACACATCTAGGTAGAGAACAGTCAAGACGTGATGATTTAGAAGCATTGGGCCATGTGTTTTTCTACTTTTTGAGAGGTCAATTACCATGGCAAGGATTGAAGGCACCAACTAATAAGCAAAAATACGAGAAAATTGGTGAGAAGAAGAGAACTACCGCGGTTAGCGATCTTGGAAGTGGATTCCCTCCACAATTTGCTCAATATTTGGACATGGTTAGATCCTTGAACTTTGAGGAGACCCCTGATTATGAAAAATACAGGGTTTTGCTCTTGAGTGCACTGGATACTATTGGTGAGGTTGCAGATGACCAATACGATTGGATGAAGTTGAACGGTGGTAAAGGTTGGGATCTCAGCATTAACAAGAAACCAAACCTACACGGTTATGGACATCCAAATCCTCCAAACGAGAAGGATCGCCATCACCGTCAACAGAGAAGAAATAAACATTTGCAACAACAAATCCACCAACAGCAGCAGCAACAACAGCAGCAGCAATCACAACAGCATCAACAACAACAATTGCAACAGCAACAACAACAGTTTAGCTCTACAATCACAAACACCAATGTCGTTGCATCTAACAGCAACAATAAAGGCTTGAATCAACCACCATTGAACTCAACACAGCAGTTCCAAAATAGACAACCTGCTCCTGTCAGAGAGAAAGTTGAATCGCAAGCCTCACCAGCTGATGCAAGACAGCAACAGATTAACAATCAACACGCAGATGATGACAATCAATCAAAGGGATTCTTTGCAAAGTTGTTTTGTTGTTCCTGAAGAAGTCCTTCCTTGCTTCATCCCCTCAAGAAAGATAAAAAAAATGTGTTCAAAAGAAAGAGTCGAAAGTGTTTATTACTGTGTAAGATAGAACTGTTTATCAATTTACAAGCATTTTATTCCCCCCTAATTAATATATACATGGAATCCAAACAATGTGGGTCAACGTTTCATGTTGAACCTCGTTGTATAGACGTCAACCATCTCTTCTGGACTCATTTCTCTTTGACCGAGGTGAGCTGAGCGTACTTCAAAGGCCTTCCTCTCTTTCTTCGTCTTGAACTTGACATCTCGTTTCATCTTGCTCAACAAGTCGTCTTCATAGCTCTGTAACTTGTTCTGGAGCTGTTGATCCTGATTTGACCTTCCTGGTAGTTTGGTCTTCGCATCTAACCCCCAGAGATCACCACTTGTAGCCTTACGTGCATCATGATATGATAGCTTATCAAATGATTTGGTGATGGTCCACTTCTCGATCTCTCCACTAGAGCCACACACTGACATCGTCACATGTCCCTTACGTTTCATTGGAGTCTTGAGAATACGCGGCCATAGAGATGGATCACTAGGAGTGGAACCAATGGAGAAAGTCTGGGTTTGGTTGGTCCTTTCTTGTTCAATAGAAGTCACAGTTGCTGAATCTGTAGCGCAACGTGCCACTATGAGATAGGAATAGTTGGCAATCTCATAGTTATTACCATCAATGCGTCCGCTTGACCCCTTTGTCCCTGAGGTTGGAGATATTCTTGTGCGATCAGCCCATTTGGAGGATAACACTTGACCTCTCTTGAGTTCCAATAGAAATCTAGGTCTTTCAACAGATTTATCAAAGTGACACCACGACAACTTTGAGCCAGAGGGATAGTCGTAGAACTGTGGTTTACCGGTCTGTAGAGGGCATGGTCTATGGTGAGAACATGGTGCAATCACCTTTAAATGATAATTGGTATTCTCTTCAGCACCAGCTTCAAAGAACTCTTCAAATTCCAAGTCTTCTTCGTCAACGGTGCCATATTTATCCTCCAGCTCTCTCTTTAGCTTAAGTGCCTCCTCATCGAGTTCAATTTGGTCATCGATTTCAAATTCCTGTTCGAATTCCTGTTCAAATGCGGAACCAGAGGCCTTGGAGTAAGGTCTTGGGATCTTGCCATGTTCACTGAGGAACTTCTCTGGTCTGATCATGGTTTGTCTTGCTCTTGCGACACTTTCAAATCCTAATGGAGTGCCTCTTTCAACAAGAACTAGAAATCCATCTGGTTCTAACATCTTCAACAGTAGTTGGACGTTTGCATCAACCTCATGAGGGAACTGGGATCGATCTTGTAACAGCTGGTGCTGTGCAATGATCAAATTGTACTTCTTTGAAGTATTCAACCGGTCCAGCATCTTGGTCTTGATCTTGATCTTGTTGGTCTTGACCTCACCTATGAAATCGTCAAATAGAACATCCTCATCACGATTCAGCCCTTGATGCAGCTCCTCCTCGGTGAATAGATCTTCTAGTGCACCGGGGTATTCATTTAACTGTCTTGACAGGAGGATCTTTGCTCTATCTTGCATTCCATGGTGACCAACGATAAAGGAATCCTTTACTTCCGGGTCCCATTCATTACCCATGATCTCATTCAGCGCAATCATACCCGTCGCTGGACCGTATCCGATATCCAACACCTTCGTTGGAGTAAAGTCTGGCTGCCTCTTGAACAGCTCCTTCAATACCTGGTACACAGAGGCATAATCCTGGGTAAAGAAGGACGCAATGTAAACATCATTCTCATGCGGTTTCCGGGTAGGTTCGTACAACTGGGCTTCCTTCAACTTCAAATATTGCTGTGCCACTTGGTACCTCAGCACTTTAGGCAACCGTAGGGCAAGCATATGGTTATATATCGACTTGGTTATTCTCTCCGGGATCTTGATCTGGTCTCTAAAGGTCTTACCCAGTTCTGTATTGTAATGGCTTCTCTTCATAACTTCACCGTCTGCTGGCTGTTTCCACAGATCTTCACGACTAATCACCCGCACCTTTGGGTTCGTATCTTCATTCACATCGTGGTGATAGCCTTTCACCAGCTGGCCAAACGATTCACTCTCCTTCCGGTACGCAAAGGGTAGAGACGTCATCTCTGTGGATAACGATTTGGAAGCCTCTATGGGATCGCTGTCGTACTCCCAAATCCCTTTGAGCTTTGTCCTCGTTGAGTACAGACGGTAGCACCGTGTCCACGGAGCTAGGCATCTGTGAGTCATCGTAGTCGATCGGCGTCCTTGTGAAGAGAAAGCAAGTGTGTATTATATAGTTAATCCTTACCATTGGCCATGGAAAAAATTTGTAGTAGTGTGTTCGGGCGATGAGCATGTCACGTGATTTATCACGTGCCTATCCATCTGCTTAGTAAGCGATCTTGGACATCACAGGCAACGGCGTTTGACACATAACGGTGTCAAGGGCCATTGAGGCCCCCTGTCGTGATGCCCATACATCGCCAATTGACCACGACAAAGGACTCTCTGTGCTGTCAATTGCCGTAGAAAAGCACTACCGGTGTGTAAAGCAACCTTCCAACCTCCGAAACAAGGGCTTATGAGATCAATTGAGCTACATTTCCCAGTCGTACAGCTGGACACCATTGGCTGTCTACTGATGCCAACCCAACATCGCTTACACGCAAGGGAATGACATAAACCGTAGTACGTTAAAGAGATTCCTCCCGTTGTGCTGCTTTCTCAAGCTGGCTACAGATGAGCATTGACCATTTTCGCGGGAGCTTGATCCCATTCCAACAAAATTATATGTGGTGCTTATGTAATGCACTTACGTCACCAAAATGAGTGTGTTTTTTTCACCGTGGGCCCCAAAGTTTGTTTCCGCTGTTTTTGTTGGCGACGTTTCCAACAAGGAGGGTAACTCCCTTATGTACGTGTTGTGCACGCGTTTGGGCCGATGGCTGACGCGTCCTGGCAAACTGCAACGATTTTGCTTTGTTGTGTCCGAATATATGTCTGCGTTTGTCTTATATAAAACCAGTTGGAAGCCCTTTGTGCTGATCCCTCTTTGCTCTGATTGTTGTTAGGGAGAGAGATATATTGCCATATATTTTGATTGATTGGTATTTCACCGGAAACGACACCGTCCTCTTATAACTGATTGGAGGCCATCTACAAAGTATTTTGCTCTGGAATCAACACGCCGAACGCACTTGTGCCAGACTACCCAGTTCTCAACCCACACAGACACTGGAAGGACTTGCACTGTTTGATTTTCGCACAGCATACGAGATAGAGTGACCTAGGAGGCGTTCGCAAGTGATATTGGATTGATTGGTTCAAAGGTATCGATCAATTACCTATACGGAAAGAAGAAGAAGAAGAAGGAACACGCAGAGAGTGTGTGTGCGTGCGCAAGCCTTTTTACATAGTACCTGAAGGAGGCTCTACAAGGAAGGTGAGTATCTTTTATCTGTTCCTCTTTTCACGTGGGGCGTGTGTATCCTGTGGCGTTGAGCCAACCATTGGTCTATTGTATGGCCAGCTTCGAAGCAATTGAGCTTTACAGCTGTTGCGTATATACCCTACTGCTTCTATGCGGTTACCTCAGCGCAGCGTAAATGTCCCAAGACGTTTACGATGGATTTTGTCTCATTTGTCCAGATAATTGTTGGGCCCACAGAAAAAAAAATCCAGTCTGTAAAAAGGTTTGTCCACAAGAGAAAAAAACCGTTGGGATGTCGGCGGCAAGACTCGGGACATTTGGGACAAATCCGAGCTCTTCCCTCAAAAACGCCACAAAGAGGATGGTTTCGGATGGTTTTGATACAACTGTTGGACTTCACCATAAACAAAGAACAACTTCACACAGCGCTTAGCCTCAAGAGCCGATATCCGTGTTGAATGCGCATTGGTGTTTGACGATTCATCGCTACTTGTGTGCTGCTCTTTGTCTCGTGTCCACGATCAACACCGTCAGAAAGATATACACATACCAGCGTCCGCATCCGATTGTTTGTTTACATTTACTAACCAGTTACACCATTCCAGTATTCAAAGACTACTTCCCGGTTCACTAAGACGCTTATTCGGAGAGACTACTGCTGCTAAGCTTGGTCTCGGTCTTGGTGTGAAACATTTTGGTTTTAAGCGTCAAAAGCACATCAACAAGCTGCCCTTGAAGGCTAAAACGATGAGCGAGGACAACCTTGGAGAAGTGGCGTTGCACGCCAGCAAGGTGGACTTTGCCAAATACAAGCAACTCCATGAGACGTTACCGGCGCACTTTATTGGTCTGAACACCTTGGACGTTGCTGAAGCGTCTCCGTTGAAGGACTTTGTTGCCCAGCACGGCGGTCACACCGTGATCCAGAAGGTTTTGATTGCCAACAACGGTATCGCTGCGGTTAAGGAGATCAGATCCGTGAGAAAATGGGCTTACGAAACGTTTAACGATGAAAGAACCATCCAATTCGTTGTGATGGCTACGCCGGAGGATTTGGAGGCAAACGCTGAGTATATCAGAATGGCGGATCAATACGTTGAGGTTCCAGGTGGCACCAACAACAACAACTACGCTAACGTTGATTTGATCGTTGACGTTGCTGAAAGAACCGACGTTGATGCTGTCTGGGCTGGTTGGGGTCACGCGTCTGAAAACCCACTGTTGCCAGAGCAATTGGCTGCTTCCAAGAGAAAGATCCTGTTCATTGGTCCACCCGGTTCTGCAATGAGATCTCTAGGTGATAAGATCTCCTCCACCATCGTGGCACAACATGCTAAGGTCCCTTGTATCCCATGGTCCGGTACCGGTGTTGAGGACGTCCAAATTGATCCAGAGACTAATCTCGTCTCCGTTGATGAAGTTACATATGCAAAAGGTTGTGTCAACTCTCCAGCGGAGGGTCTCTTGAAGGCCAAAGCGATTGGATTCCCAGTGATGATTAAAGCTTCTGAAGGTGGTGGTGGTAAAGGTATCAGAAAAGTTGAACGCGAGGAAGACTTTGAGACTCTGTACCACCAAGCTGCTAATGAGATTCCAGGCTCCCCAATATTCATCATGAAATTGGCCGATAACGCTAGACACTTGGAGGTTCAGTTACTCGCAGATCAGTATGGTAAGAACATCTCCCTGTTTGGCCGTGATTGTTCTGTTCAAAGACGTCATCAAAAGATCATTGAAGAGGCACCTGTCACTGTGGCAAAGCCTGAAACTTTTACTCAGATGGAGAAAGCCGCTGTCAGATTGGGTAAATTGGTTGGTTATGTCTCTGCAGGTACTGTCGAGTACTTGTACTCTCATGTCAATGACAAGTTTTACTTTTTGGAGTTGAACCCAAGATTACAGGTGGAGCATCCAACCACAGAGATGGTTTCAGGTGTTAACTTACCTGCAGCACAATTGCAAATCGCTATGGGTATCCCATTGCACAGAGTTAGAGACATTAGATTATTCTATGGTGTCGACCCACATACATCAACAGAAATCGATTTTGACTTTGAATCTGAAGCATCTTTGACATCCCAAAGAAGACCTACTCCAAAGGGTCACTGTACCGCTTGTCGTATCACATCTGAAGATCCAGGTGAAGGATTTAAACCATCTGGTGGTTCTCTGCATGAGTTGAACTTTAGATCTTCCTCTAATGTTTGGGGTTACTTCTCTGTGGCTAACCACTCTTCGATTCATTCCTTCTCTGATTCTCAATTTGGTCATATTTTTGCCTTTGGTGAAAACAGACAAGCATCGAGAAAACACATGGTTGTTGCGTTGAAGGAATTATCTATTAGAGGTGATTTCAAAACGACTGTGGAATACTTGATCAAGTTGTTGGAAACTGAAGATTTCGAGGATAACACAATTACAACAGGCTGGCTGGATGAATTGATCTCTCAGAAATTGACTGCAGAGAGACCAGATCCTACTATTGCTACCATCTGTGGTGCAGTCACAAAGGCTCATATTCTCTCACAAGAGGCTCGTGAGTCGTACATTGCTTCTTTGGATAAGGGTCAGGTTCCATCAAAGGATTTGTTAAAGACCATTTATTCCATTGAATTCATCTATGAAGGCTACAGATACAAGTTTACCGCTGCTCAATCTGCTTTAGATAGATATACTTTGTATATCAACGGTTCCAAGGTGGAAGTTGGTGTTAAAAAATTATCTGATGGTGGATTGTTGATTGCACTGGATGGTAAGTCCCATACTGTTTACTGGAAGGAACAAGTTGGGGCTACAAGATTGTCAGTTGATTCTAAAACTTGTCTATTGGAGGCTGAGAACGATCCTACACAGTTAAGAACCCCATCTCCTGGTAAGTTGGTGAAGTACTTGGTTCAGACTGGTGAGCATATTAACGCTGGTCAACCATTTGCCGAGGTTGAGGTGATGAAGATGTGCATGCCATTAATTGCTCAAGAAAATGGTACTGTTCAATTGGTTAAACAGCCAGGTTCTAACGTTGCGGCTGGTGATATTTTGGCCATCTTGTCTCTTGATGATCCATCTAAGGTCAAGCACGCCTTACCTTTCCAAGGCATCTTGCCAGAATTTGGCCAACCAACTGTACAAGGCACTAAACCTGCGTACAAGTTCCAGGCCTTGTTGTCCACATTGAAGAACACATTGACTGGATTTGACAACCAGGTGATTTTGAACGCTACTCTTCAGGACTTGATCGAGGTGTTGAGAAACGAGCAATTGCCATACTCCGAATGGAATCAACAAATATCTGCTTTGCACTCAAGAATTCCACTTGAGTTGGACGCAGAGTTGGCTAACTTGATTAAGAGATCCTCTCAAAGAAATGCATCGTTCCCAGCAAGACAGATTCTGAAGCTTTTGGACAAGAGCGCTTCATCACCAGATGCTGATCCGCTGTTTGGCCAGGTTGTTGCACCATTGCGTGATATTGGTGAGCGTTATGCTAAAGGCTTGGAAACCCATGAACATGCTGTTTTTGCTGAATTGTTGACTGAATATTATAACGTTGAGAAGCTTTTCAGTGGTACCAACGTTAGAGAGGAAGATGTCATTCTAAAGCTGCGTGACGAAAACAAGAATGATTTGTCTAAGGTTGTCTCTATCGTGCTTTCTCATTCTAGGGTTTCTTCAAAGAATATTTTGATTCTCGCTATTTTGAACCACTACCAACCTCTCTGTCAACAAAGCGCCGAGATTGCCAATGTTATGCGTGAACCATTAAAGCACATTGTTGAGCTCGAGGCCAGAGCCACTGCTAAGGTTTCTATCAAAGCCAGAGAAATCTTGATTCAATGCTCATTGCCATCCATCAAAGAGAGATCTGATCAATTGGAGCACATCTTGAAGTCTTCTGTTGTTCAAACAAGATATGGTGAGATTGGTTCTTCGCATCGTGAACCACAGATGGAGATTTTGAGAGATGTTATTGACTCCAAGTATGTTGTCTTTGATGTTCTCACCCAATTTTTGGGACACAAGGATCCATACGTTGTAGCTGCTGCTGCTGAAGTCTATGTTCGCCGTGCTTACCGTGCTTACAACGTGATTGGTAACTTGACATACAATACTGATGGTGAATATCCAACAGTTGAATGGAAATTCCAGCTCCCATCTTTCTCTTCTGCTGCTTACAACGCTGTTCCTCAAGCCAGAGGTATGGTTGGTAAAGCCATGAACAGAGCCGTCTCAGTTTCAGATTTGACATTTGTCTCCAACGATGAGTCACAACCATTGAGAACAGGTTTGTTGATCCCATCACCACATTTGGATGACGTCGAAGATGTATTGATCAAGGGATTGGACAGGCTTCCTCGTAAAGCTGTTGTTGACTCTTCTCGTGGTCCTGCTCCAAATAGATCTGCGCCAAATAATGCTCTTTACAACATTGTTAATGTTGTTGTTGGGGACTCTGATGGCATCGAATCTGAGGATGAAATTTTGGCTAAATTGAACGAGGTTCTGGCAGACGCGAAGGATGAGTTAGTCGCAACTTCTATACGTCGTATAACCTTCATTTTCGGTTCTACTGATGGTTCTTATCCAAAGTACTACACTTTCAGAGGTCCTGACTACGCAGAGTACAAGGAAATTCGTCATATCGAACCAGCATTGGCTTACCAATTAGAGTTGTTGAGATTATCAAACTTCAACATCAAACCAATCTTCACTGATAACAGAAACATTCATGTCTATGAGGCCATTGGTAAGAACTTCCCTGCTGATAAGAGATTTTTCACAAGAGGTATCATCAGAACTGGTCGTATCCGTGATGACATCACCATCCAAGAGTATTTGACTTCAGAGGCCAACAGATTGATGTCTGATATTCTGGACACTCTCGAAGTTATTGACACTTCAAACTCAGACTTGAACCATATCTTTATCAACTTCTCTGCCGTTTTTAACGTCCTTCCTGAAGATGTTGAGGCCGCCTTTGGTGGTTTCTTGGAAAGATTTGGAAGAAGACTTTGGAAACTCCGTGTTTCAGCTGCGGAGATCAGAATAATGTGTACAGATCCTAAGACTGGTGTTCCATTCCCATTGAGAGCAATGATTAACAACATGTCTGGTTTCGTTGTTAAGTCTGAGTTGTACATGGAAGTGAAGAACAGTCAAGGTGAATGGGTTTTCAAATCACTTGGAACTCCAGGATCCATGCACTTGAGACCAATCTCTACACCTTACCCAGCTAAGAATCAGTTACAACCAAAGCGTTATAAGGCTCATCTATTGGGAACTACTTATGTTTACGACTTCCCAGAGTTGTTCCGCAGTGCAACTTTGGCTCAATGGGAGAGATACGCTCCTGATGCTAAGGTCCCAGAAGACTTCTTCCAAACAATTGAGTTGATTTTGGATGACTCTGACGTGTTAACCGAGGTTGATAGAGAAGCAGGTGCAAACAACATTGGTATGGTTGCCTTCAAAGTATTCGTCAAGACTCCAGAATATCCAAGAGGTCGTCAATTCTTCATTGTTGCTAATGATATCACTTATAAGATTGGTTCTTTCGGTCCCCAAGAGGATTACTTCTTCGATAAAGTTACCCAACTTGCCAGAAAGTTGGGTATTCCAAGAGTGTACTTGTCTGCTAACTCTGGTGCTAGAATTGGTATGGCTGAAGAACTACTTCCATTGTTCCAAGTTGCTTGGAAGCAACCAGGTCATCCTGATGAAGGCTTTGACTACTTGTACCTGTCTGACGATGGTATATCAACTCTAGAGAAGAATGATCAACTCAAGGCTGTTTCTACTGAGAGAATAGTTGAAAATGGTGAAGTTAGACATGTTATCAAAGCTATCATTGGTACCGAAGATGGTTTGGGTGTTGAATCTCTTAGAGGCTCAGGTTTGATTGCAGGTGCTACATCTAGGGCTTACAAAGATATCTTCACCATCACTTTGGTTACTTGCAGATCTGTCGGTATCGGTGCATATTTGGTCAGATTGGGTCAAAGAGCCATCCAAGTTGAAGGTCAACCAATCATCCTTACTGGTGCTCCTGCTATCAACAAGTTGTTGGGCCGTGAAGTTTATTCATCCAACTTGCAACTTGGTGGTCCACAGATCATGTACAGAAACGGTGTTTCTCATTTGACTGTGCCGGACGATCTTGCTGGTGTTTGCCAGATCATGAACTGGTTGTCATATGTTCCAGCCAAGCGTAACATGCCAGTCCCAATCCTAGAATCTCTTGAAGATCCATGGGATAGAGATGTTGAATTTGCCCCAGTTCGTAACGAGACATATGATGTCAGATGGATGATTGCTGGTCGTGAATTGAGTAATGGCACCTTTGAGGCTGGTTTGTTTGATAAGAACTCTTTCCAGGAAACCTTGAGTGGTTGGGCCAAGGGTGTTGTTGTTGGTAGAGCTAGATTGGGAGGTATTCCATTTGGTATCATTGGTGTTGAAACCCGTATGGTTGAAAACTTGATTCCAGCTGACCCTGCTAATCCAGATTCTACTGAACAATTGATCCAAGAAGCTGGTCAGGTTTGGTATCCAAACTCTGCGTACAAGACTGCTCAGGCTATCAATGACTTCAACAATGGTGAACAATTACCATTGATGATTTTGGCTAACTGGAGAGGTTTCTCTGGTGGTCAACGTGATATGTATAACGAGGTTTTGAAGTTTGGTTCTTACATCGTTGATGCTTTGGTTGGTTACAAGCAACCAATCATTACATACATCCCTCCATGTGGTGAACTTAGAGGTGGTTCATGGGTCGTTGTTGATCCAACCATCAACTCTGAGATGATGGAAATGTACGCTGATGTTGAGTCCAGAGCTGGTGTTCTTGAGCCAGAAGGTATGGTTGGTATTAAGTACCGTCGTGAGAAGTTGATTTCCACAATGGCTAGACTTGATGACACTTATGCTGCCTTGAAGAAGCAACTTGGTGACTCAACTTTGAGTGCTGAACAGCATCAAGAGGTTTCTGCCAAGCTTGCTGCTCGTGAGAAGGCTCTACTTCCAATTTACCAACAGATCTCTGTTCAGTTTGCTGATTTGCATGACAGATCCGGTCGTATGCTCGCCAAGGGTACTATTCGTAAGGAGCTTGAGTGGGTCAATGCTCGTCGTTTCTTCTTCTGGAGAATTCGTCGTCGTCTAAACGAAGAGTACCTCATTAAGAGAATTGGTGAAACTTTACAGTCTGCTTCAAGAATCGAAAAGGTTGCCAGATTGAGATCATGGTATCCACCAACGCTTGATTATGAGGATGATAAGCTCATTGCTAACTGGATTGAAGAGAACCATGAGTACTTGGACACCATGGTGAAGAAGTTGAAGGACGAGGCCTTTGCACAAAACATTGCTCAATTGATTAGAAGTAACCGTGACTCAGCCATTAGTGGGTTGGCTGAAGTGATTGGTCTTTTGTCTACTGAGGACAAGGCAAAGATCTTGGAGAGCTTGAAATGATTTTTTTACCCTTGTATTTAGTTTTTTTTACTTGTTTATGACAACTTAATTTTGCAATTGTTTTCCATTGGTTTATTATTAATTGGTGTAAGGGTTTCTTAATACTATTATAATTATACAAGTTATGGATTTGTGGCGTTGTAGAGTTTCTTCTTGAGAGACAGAGCCTCGTCTTTCAAGTCGTCTCTTTCCTTTTTGATGATGTACAGCTCAGCTTGTAAATCACGAATCTTGAGGTTGTAACGAGCATTGGTTACGTCGTTATCTTCATCATTATCCTTGTTGCTAAAGTCATTAACAATAGGGGTTACATTTCTCGATGTCTTTTTGGATCCAAACAATCTCAATTCGTCAAGCTCATTTTGCAGTTTGGAGTTCAACTCCTTTTCCTTCGTAAGTTCACTTTGAGAAATCTGCAAGGCTCTATTGGCAGTGTTGACCGAGTATACAGATTCTTTGTAACTGTCCTCAATTTTCGAAAGTTCAGCTAATTTCAATTTCAAGGTCTCAACCTCAGAAGCGTACTTTTTAGAGTCAGCGATTTCACGTTCCAAAGATGCTTTTGATTGTGAAATTTGTTCATTCTCTTTCAATAGTTCATCAATGTGGGATTGAAGCGAAGTTGCAGTCTCGTCATTCTGAGGGGATGTTGCCAAAGATTTGGAAACATACTCACCGGTAGTCTCATCCTTAGACAAATATTGTGCAAGAAATGTGGAAAGTCCAACATTTAATTTCTTCACTTCTTCATGTGACTCACTTAAAGCTTTCTGATTTGCCTCTAATAACTCTGCCTTCTCCTTCTCCAAAATTTCAAGTTTCGATTTTAGTTCGTTTACTTCACTTTCGTGAGTCTTTGCCAATTCCAATGCTTGCTCTTGAGATTCAATTGTCTCTTGTTGACTCTGAATAATACTATTCAACTTCTGGAGATCGATAAGATTCTGTGTGAACACCGATTCAACTTCAGTGGATCTGGCTTTAGCCTTTTCATGCTCTTTGTTGAGTAATTGATAATCAGTATCCAGTTTAATGAATCTTCTCTTCACACTGTTCTCGTCATCATCTTGAATCTCCTTTGGGTATGTCCCATTAATCTGTTCCTTCAACTTAATATTCTCTGTCTCAAGACTGTTGATCTTATCACTTGCAGCTTTGACACTCTCCGTGGTTGACAACTTCAAAGCATCCAGTTCCTTGGACAGAGCATCAATAACTTCTTTGTAACGCTGCTTCTCATCAGAAGAAATTCCGGAGACAGTACCGGCAGATGACGTCTGAATTGCCGACTTATTCAGAGACCCAACATTAGCACCGGTGACGTTGTTTTTTGAACTAGTTCCAACAGTTACAGCACCTAAGAGTCCTGCAACGCCTGCTGTTGCTGCTGTTCCTACAGCAGTACTGATCCCATGAGTGGTCTCATTGGATGTACCAGTCATATCACCATCAACATTGGACGATGGTACATGATCAAGAACACTAGCTCTTGGAGTATCATCGTTATCTTCGTCAATAGTTGCAGGAGAATATGCGGTGTAGCTATCCAAAATGTCGGAGCTTCTAGCAGTACTGTGCATGCCATATGGTTTAGATGAACCATTGTCTTTGTGAATATCAAGTGAATTTCCTGAATTCACAGAATTCTCTATATCCTTTGACAAAGCACCCGGTAACGGCACAGTAGAGTTCTCGCTGGAAGTTGGAGCAGGAACATCAACTTTCGAATTGGTTAACGGAGCAGGCATCTGCAATGGTAAATCAACATCATCGTCCACGGATACAACAGAACGTTTTGGTGTCATTGCATCATCATCCGGTGATTTTGTTTCTGTATCACTCTGATGTGTAGTTGTTGAATGGCTGAGATCGGACGGTAATGGTTCTGCTTCGTGTTCTCTGTTATAAACAGCCTCTGCATTTTTAGCATTCCAAGCAGTGCCAACAGCAGTCCCTGTAGCAACACCAGTTCCAATAACAGTCGCACCTTTCAATCCAGGTGTTCCTCTTGAATTGTTTGCATTGTCAAAGTTACCAGGAGATGGTAGCATTTTCTTTTCAGGTGATAAGTTTTTAACAGAAGCTGGGGTAAATATTGAGGAGCCAGCGAATCTCTCCTGGTTTGAACTATTAGCAGGTGTGCCGTACTGCTGTAGTCCTGGAACAAGTCTCTCCAGGTTTGAAACATCCAACATCGTGAGCAACGTACCAACGCCGTTATCCTCTTCTGATGGTTCCAAATTCTCACCTAGTCTTGCGTATTCTGCCAATTGACCACCAAGCACCAAGAGTTTGTTATCCTTGGTGATTGACAGGGTATGACCATATTTGCCCTGTGGTGATAATGGGTAACGATTCATCACAAACCAAGTCTTTGTTATCAGATTCAAAAAGAAGAAATCTTGGAACGCTTGACCTGCAGAATCTTTGCCTCCATAGATGATCAAACAGTCTTTATGGATAACAGAAGCGTGCTCCTCAACCGGGGGTGGTGGTGTGCCGAATGTCTTTGGATTGTCCCATTTGTTTGACGCAGGATCGTAAACCCAAAGGTCGTTTACTAGCTTGTGGCCTGTTGAGCCACCAAACAACCACAATTTGTTGTCGTACACGTCCATCGTATGATTTGTCAATGGAGGAGGTCTCACAGGATCAGCAGGTGTTATCCATTCCCAATGGCAATCTGGACGACGGAATGAACTAAGGTTGAACATGACCAAGTCGTTATGGATGGCATCGTCCAACTGGCCACCGTACAAAAACAGCTTAGAATCAAAGTTTCTAACCGAGATCACGCCAATGGTATGGCCATACCTTCCAGTAGGTTTTCTTCCAGTGGGCCTTGGAATGGTCCAGGTGTGTGAGCTGGTATTGAACAAGTACAGGTCGTTATCAATCTCACCGTCGTCGTTTGTCACTGTGTCACCACCGAAAACAACAAACGCGTTACCACAAGTGGTGGAGGCATGTCCAACTCGAGGTGAAGGTGAATTGTCTGATATTTCCACCTGCAGGGTCTGGAATTGACCGGTTTCCTGGTCCTGCTTAATGATCCATGTATCGCCATACACCGAAGTGTTGTGAAGTCCGCCCATGACAAACAGTTCGTTTCTTTCATTCGCATGCTGAGAGGCACCGTGTCTATACCGTGGGAATGGACTAAACAGCAACTTGGTTCTTGACCACGGTGTGTTTGGCTTGTACTGGAAGTGTGATTGCGAAGGAGACGACTGTTGAAAGTTCCCTTGCTGATTCTGGTTAAAGCCATTCTGCTGCTGTTGGAATGGATCATACGCTGGCGCGGAACCGAACTGTCTCTGGTGGGGTGACGGTGCAACGTTGCCACGCTGTGGGGATCTCTGGTTGTAGATGTTGTTGTTGTGATCAAACCCGAGCGGCGTGGCATTCACATTCTGGAACTGCTGTCCAGTGGTTATTGACGACGACGACTGCGAAGGCAGTCCCTTGGGCAGCGATGGCGATCCTTGGGCCTTCGATCCCGCAGAGTTCATCGACGTCTGTGGAGAGTGGCCTTCTCCACTGGCTGCTCTCTTCTGGGGAGTGTCGGCCTCTTTATGCTTCTTCTTACCAAACTTGAAAGGTGTCATCATCTGTGCGCTTTCCAACTGATCAACTGGCAGGAAACTTCAGGGTAAACTGGCAATGCAATGTGTTCAGGTATGAAGTGACAGTTCTATAGCAAAATAACACTAACCGCCGCGATGGTGTTTCCAAGCGCCAGTGTTTTTCCCTTTTGTGCTTTGTTGTTGTTGTTGTTGTTGATGTTGTTGTTGTTGTTGATGTTTGTTATTGTTTTTTCTCGCTCCCCGTCTCTTCCCCCTGCCATTTTGGCAGCCCGCTGAGAGATCGCTTCCCCCTTTCTTTCTGGGACAGAATCAGCGTCGGAATCTCTGGCCTTGTTGGCCCGTCCGTCGGAATCTGTGCGTCTGGTTCCGATCGCACGATGAGGGTATTCCGATCACCCATAGACGTTGCTTGTTTCACCCACACAGCCTGGTCAAACGATTCGCAGGTGACAAAGTGCACACACCGACGGTTCCACTGGGTTACAGCCTTACTTTTATAGATCAATTGTACAGTTGATAGTGGCACACGGAGGGAAAACTGGACGGGAAGGGAGGAAAAACCACACACGGACGGAAAATACACACACACACACGCACACGCATAGGGAATAATAACAAGGAGTTACGAGCTTTGCAGTCATTACTGGAGATTTCGCCACGCTAACACACTCCCGTTTAACAAGACTGTTGTTTGCTGTGCCGGTATCTGCTACCTAATCCTCCCAATGGATAAAGATGGTAAATTTGACAAGTTCATCGAGGATTTCGACAAGTCCTTGGACACGGACACTTCATCGTTCAAGACCATTGGGCTTCACAAGACCATAACGGGGGCTTCCACGGGGAGAATGTCGTCGTCGCCAAGCTCCCCGGTCATGACGACACCGACAAAGTCAAGAAGGAACTCGATTCCTCCCGAGGAGGCTCCTCTACACCCCATAAGAACCCTGGACTCGATACTGGATGGTGTTGATGGAAATACCGGTAATAAACCCGGTATCAAGGTCAACACTCCACCATCCACAGCGTCCACCACCACCACTACGGCGCCAGGTGGGTCCAATCCGAGACCAGTGAAGCTATCGTCGGGCTCCTCTGGTGTGGGGGGCATGAAGCGTTCATCCACCGTGAGCAGTGGGCTGCTAGCGAGACAGCCCTCCCGTCGTGGACTGAACTTGAACTTGATGAATACTCATACCCGCCAGCACTCGTCCGGCTCAAGAGTCACGAGTCCAGAGCCGCAGGGGTCCACCTCGTCGAACTCTACACCACAGAGGGACAACAACTTCACGCCGAGCAGAAGAATATCAACTACCCCGAATGGGAAACATGGTATCTCTGCTTCAAGACCCAGACGTCGGACAAACTCCAGCGTCACCTCGACTGACTTTGACGAGCTGAGTGATACTTTCAGGATGCTGGCAACGAAGGAGATGCGCATAGTAGAGCTGAAAGAGCAGATGAAGAGAATACAGAGAGAGCTGGAGCTTGAAGAGGCCGAGTTGAAGAAGCTCAAGACCGAAATAGGAAACACGATACAAAAGGACATGTCGTCACCTTCGGTATCACAGAAGACCATCAGGGAAGATCCAGCAGAGGCTCAAGCAGCGGCTGTAGAGCAAGATCACTCGCTTCCATCACAGGCCAAACCGCTACAAAGCTCCGTCTCCAAGAGAACGAGCATATGGAGTAAACCTGTTAATTTCCTCAACCAGTTTGATCAGCTGTTACAGAACGAGATTGAAAAGTTGAACAAAGACTCATTTGGGTCGTCTACAACGTCTACAAAGGATGAAGACATGTTGAACACTGTTTCAAGCTCTCTATGGACGTTTGTCTCTGATGTCAAACAAGGGCTGATGGGCGATTATGATACTGAGGAGGACATCAACAGCAATAGCACTAAACACGAACAATCAAATGGAACAGCTCATGAACAAGAAATGATTACGATAAATAGGCATAAATAAAATCAACCCATTCTTTGAAGCATATATACACACGTACACACTCACAAAGGCGTATACAATCATCCCATCGTCACCTTTTCACAGGTAAATCAACTCATCCAGGAGATGCTTCCTGTACTTGAAGCAGCACGATTTCGTTGACATCATTTGGTCAAAACGAGGTGTCATCATGCTTGTAGTCGTCATACATCTCATCCCAAGAGTATCTTTCATTGTGCTGTTGTCCAACAAGCCTGGCACTTTGAAAGGGGGTTTCAAACGCTTCATCCGGTACATTTGCCAATGGATCAGGCAAAGGGTTTGTCTTGGTGTCAGCCTTCTCACGAATCTGTGATTTTAACTGTTTCTCGTGGATATCCTCGCCGTTGGCATCAACCAGCTTAGTCTCGTCCTCATTGAGCTCCACTTGTCCATTCGTAACCTTTGTCATCAGATTCAAAAACTTTGAATTCGCAAACTTTTCAGAATCGGTGGACTTCATAATCTTCTCCACTTGCCTGGCAGCCTCTCTGAATTCGGCGTTGCTATTACGGTTGCCAATAGGCTCCTCCTCGAGCTTAACATTATCTTCAAACTGCTTCTCCAAGGATTGGAATTCACGTTCCAAATCAGCATGAGTGGGATCCAAGAGCTGTGTATCTTCCACTTGTGCCTGCATGTAGCTGTTATTCAGTCTCTGAGTGCCCATCAACCCCATGGATGTCCCTATGGACGTCCCCATGGACATCCCACTGGTGTTGAGCGCATAGTTCTGTTGAACCTGGGGCGGTTGGTAAAACTGTTGGCCGCCCATCTGTGAGTTCCTCTGTGTGCCCATTTGGTTCATGAACTGAGTGTTCCAGCTGTTGGCCTGCTGTCTACTCTGGCTCTTCGCTGGAGCATTAGCCGCTGTGAAGTCACTTGCCCATGAAGAGCTGCCCTGCTGCGGTTGGTGATGTTGTGGATGCTGATGCAGCGGTTGATGTTGTTGATGAGGCGGCTGCATGCTCATAGGTCTCTGGAAGGCATTTGCAAACATCGGATCAAACTGAGCCTGGCTCTGCTGATGGAGCTGGAACTCATGCTCCATCCCCATCCCATCGTTCGATCTGAACGACTGTCCATTGACCGCCCTTCTCTGCGAAGCATCCTGGTGCAGCGATCTATCAACCTGAGCATGTGATGAGAGCTTCTGTACTGCGTTGACTGGCCCACAAGACATTTTTGTTCTCCCTGTGGTTTCTGTTTGGTCGTTCTGGTATGTTTTCTCAGTGGAGCACCTCTTCTTTTCAACTGGCTTTAGTCGTCGGAATGGAAGCTTTGGTTTGTTGATAACGGCGAGAATTGCGGAGGTTAAATGAGTGACACAGAGTAATTTGAACCGCGGCAGCTGATAGTGGGCAGCACACTGAAGAAAAAAGAGGGAATGGCGGGGTCTTACCTTCCTATTTTGGTATATTTCCTGATGCGGATACTTTTGTCGTTTTTCGTGAAAAACGAGAATGAAAAAAAAAGAATGAAGGTAGCACTCACGCTGGGGGTCGAACCCAGAATCTTCTGATTAGAAGTCAGACGCGTTGCCATTACGCCACGCGAGCTACGTTCGGAAGACGAGTCCAGACCGCCTTACCAGATTATTACTGCAGAGGAAGCGTGCTGCTGTTGTTTGAGGTGATGGTGCCTCTTAAACTGTACAGCTTGATGTGTAGACGAGTAGATCAAGGTGGGCGCCTCTGGATTCAGCGTATAATTATCAAAAGATAGTGATACCACAGTGTATTACACGATTAACGACAAACAGCTATCGATACAGTTCCTCTCTACTTCAAGTGCCAGCTGAACGTTCCTAGCAATATGAAATAGTCACGAGAAGATAGTTCTTAACCAATATGGTGTGAACACATAGGATAAAAGGTTAGTTCATGAGAGCTTCGGGAAAGAGGAAACACGGTGGTTAAAAAGGACCTCTTTGAACCATTGTGTGCACCCTCGGATCTTGACAGTTCCTGATTCAAGTTATTTCAACAAAACACAACAGAGGTGCAACAACTGTTAAGCGTTACAAGTAGTCTACAGTTCGGCTAGTATAGCAATGAAATCCAAGAATCGAATCCAAAGGTCGAATATCACGAGTTAAATTACATTGTATGAGTCTTTAACGTATCAAAAGTCATAAATTGATTATCTCAAGATGTGGTTACTCATCAAATATATCGAGCTTAGAAAGCCAACAAACCCATAACGGCAGCAGCCAAGACGGAACCAGCAGCCTTACCAGCAGCACCCTCGAAGGTAGAGACTTCAACAGAGGTCTCCTCAGCAGCAGTGGTCTCCTCAGCAGCAGTGGTCTCCTCAGCAGCGGTGGTTTCCTCAGCAGCAGTGGTTTCCTCAGCAGCAGTGGTTTCCTCAGCAGCAGTGGTCTCCTCAGCAGCAGTGGTGGTTTCCTCAGCAGCAGTGGTCTCATCAGCAGCAGTGGTGGTGGTCTCCTCTGGAGCAGCAGAGGTGGTCTCATCAGCAGCAGTGGTGGTGGTCTCCTCTGGAGCAGCGGTGGTGGTCTCGTCAGCAGCAGTGGTGGTCTCAGCGGTAGTGGTCTCATCAGCAGCAGTGGTGGTCTCAGCGGTGGTGGTCTCATCAGCAGCAGTGGTGGTCTCAGCAGTGGTGGTACCATCAGTGGTGGTACAACCACCAGTGTATTCACAGGCATTCAAACCGGTGTCGATGGTGTACTCATCGGTCAAAGTGGTGGAACATCTAGAAGTACCAGTTGGCTCTGTAGAAAGAGAACAAGCAGCCAAGGCAGAGGTAACATAAGGACCGTAGTACTTCCACAAGGTCCAACCACAGTCCATACAGGTGGCGTAGTACTTGTTCAACTCAGAGTCTTCAGCACACAAACAGGTGGTGTTGTATGGACCAGCGTACTGGTTGTCTGTGTTGGTGGTACAGTCGGAACCACCGATGATCATCAAACCACAGGCAGCGTGACAAGCAATGGTAGCACAGTCATCGGCAGAAGCGGCCAAAGCATAGGCTTCTGGGTCTGGGTGGGAGATGGCAACGGCCTCGGCGTAAGCGTCAGCGTAGGCCTCAGCAGCAGCAGCGGCCTGTGGGTTGGCCTTAGCCCATGGCAAAGCAACAGCAGCTGGGGAGGCAGCAGCAGAAGCAGCGGAAATCAAAGCAGAAGCGATAATGAAGCGAGTGGAGTATTGCATCTTTATGTAAGTATCTCTGGTGAAGAACAGAACAACTCCACCAGTTGACAGGGTAGGAAGATGTGGGATTCGGCGTCTTTAAATAATCAAGCAGGATCAGATAAGGCGAGCAGTCGGGAGGGTGTACGTTTCGCAGGTCATAACACCTCGATTCACCGATAACTCGTGGGCTGTCCTCATGAAACGTTTTGTCCACTCGTTGTGATGTACGCACACACAAGGAGCGCACAGCTGCAGAAACCTCAGGAGTCAAAATGGGGACGACTGTAACCAATTCGAGTAAACGTGCGGGAGCCCCATAGTAACCAAAGGTTCTAGGCGTTGCAATTAAGCCTCTCGCTGCTTGGCTCCGTCTGCTATTGGCTATGCTCCTCACCTTATTGTCTAAATTGGGATACGTATTTACTTTTCGGGTGTACTTTTTCATGCACCATCAGCAGCAGGACAATTGATCGCGGGAGATAAACGAAAAAACTTCCTCTTTGCAACCTCATGATATATCGCTGATTGAGCTGACTTGCCAAGTCAGCGAAGGAAGCCTGTGGAATCCAAGATCGAGGCAAATGTCCTTTCACTGGTGTTCGTCGCATTCATATGGCATGGCTTAATGGCCACGCTGACCGTGCAAAGAACAGTGTCAACGGCCAGAGCACCAACCCGCCTGTAAACACCGATAAGTTTCGTTCGCGCAAAGAAAACCACAAACCCTTGCAGGTTCCGAAGCCCTTTTTTCCAAAAGTCTGCCTACGCGCCAGAGGGCCCCCGCCCACGCCGCGGTCCCCCTACCAACTTTGGTTGGTGTCCGGTAAAGTGCCCAACGGCTGTTTGCTCGTAACAACATCACATTTCTTAGCGCATGCCTCACAAAGAATACAGGCGTCATCTGTGTGTAGGCGGTATTGTTTACGTCCTTGCCGTTTCTGGATGGCGTTCAGTAGAGCCATGTTATGTTTGCTGTGCTACTGCCGTAAATATCACGTATGGTTCCCTGGTCGTGGTTGGTTAGATTCCTCGCGTGGGCCTCAGGTTTGGGTTTGTAGAGGGTCACGGTTGGGGTCTGGTATGGCCTGACAAGCAGCGATGAACACCCTGAGAGCATCACACCCTGATAGCATCACACCCTGATAGCATCACACCCTGATATCATCACACCCTGAGAGCATCACACCCTGATAGCATCACACCCTGATAGCATCACACCCTGAGAGCATCACATCGCGGCGGCTGTTGAGCGATGAGCAGTGTGTCTCGGTGTTGGCTCTGGCTGGTGGGCGTGGGCGTTCTGGCACCATCGCCCAGCGAGCGTGTATTATCACGCTACAGCTCCTCAGCAACACCGTCTCTACACTGCTCGGCTCGCTGCGGACGTGTCTGCCCAGAGGGCACCTCCCCCGTGACAGCGAACCAGCTGTTCGTCTACATTCCCGCGTACCTCGCTCATGCCTGAGAGCTCCAGGCTCCAGAATACCAGGCCAATGGCTAAAACCAGCACATGTTAAGCGGTGGTTCAAAAGGTGGTGTACGGCTCCATTTTACACCCTTTGCACCTCTTTTTCGAAGTTGTAGATCAACACCGGAAGCTCACAACCACGTAAATGCACCCGCTCTAACTTCTGAGGACGCAAGTTCCACGAACTTGCAACCACCCAGTAACTTAAACCCGACTCGCCCATTATCCCAGTCCAAATGACACCTTCTTCCGCTGTGTCCTAAGTCATGCAACAGAGCTGTCATTCGCTGGCTGGTATTAACATGAGGTTCCTTTGCGCACGTTACGAACAGCAGACTGCGAACACGACGCACTGGAATTTCACCTAGCGCTGTAGTTGAAACAGGTGGATACAAATGACAGCCAATCGGCTATGCTCTCAAAGCATGAGACACATGAAACATGGTGCCCAAATGTTTTGTAAACAAACATTCCATTCTGAGCGTGACTGTAGCTTTGCAGGTTGAATATTCGGACATACTGGAGTAAAGATGTTGTGAGCTGGGGAGCACCTTTAGCCATCGATCAGTTCTCCATTGGCCAGTTGGCCATATTTGTATGGATATTTGATGAAGAACCTGGCTGCTGAGCTGTATCAACTTTACACACCTGGAGCTTCGCACTCTGGTTAGGAAGCCGTGCAGTAGCCGGTGGCCATAAGCTGGTGAACTGGTTCTTAGCTCAGCGGCTCAATCTGCAATGGCTTTCCAAAGAGCCCAGCACATGGCTTGAAACACACCATTGTACGACCTTTGCGCCATTCCTCGAGCAAAACGTGAATGAAAAGTCGAGCTATTCCAGAGATTTGCTTAGATCAGAATAACGGCGTCTCTAACACTGGCCTCGACGGAAAATGGCTTCCAATTCAACACAGAGGAGTCGCCAGCGGTAATAAGCTATCCCACCTGCTAAGGAGTTTGGCGCTACATCTCCAGCACACAACTTAGAAGGGAGATCTAACTACAAATGCCCCTACTTGTTGTGCTTTCAACAGAACCATTCTCCGTCTCAATGAGCCGGCGCTGAAAGCTGAAGCCACTATAGTTAACTACATCGTCTAGTCAGATTCCACCTCAGAGGTACCTAACTAGCAACGAAATGCTCATAATCTAAGAATGGCAAGACATTACAAGTCTGATGTATATGACATAAAGGGACTATACACTCTTGAGAACAAACCGAGAACATCACAGCATGCCAGATGTTGATCCATGCCATGTCCCATTGGACAGAAATTGGACAAATACCATTGGACAAATACCATTGGCCATGTCACTTCGGACAGCCACCGAACACCTAATGCTGCATACTCACCACGGACTGAAGAGCACACCGTACAAAACCTGTGCGTGTGTTGTGATGTGTGCCATGTGACTGGGGAACTGGGTGTGTTTACCGTTAGATAAAGCCCTCCGATATCGAGCTAATAGGCTGAAAGTACGTGTGTCCGGGTGTGTAATGATGAGACTGCTTCATGTGTCGGTGTAACATGACCACGCTCATGGTGAAACCATGGTCTGTAGTCCCGTCGTAGGCTAACAGTCCGTAGAAACTGGCCTGTATTCCTCTCTTCTCGTGTTCTTGCGGTTAATGACCGGCTTATGGGTGGTGTGTGGTGTTTTTACCTGTGGAGATGGCTATGTCCTTGTAGATTCCTGTCCGGGACAGGATGGTTAAAAGTGGGAGTTGGGACCTGTCTTGTCCCGTTTGATGGTATGTGACTATCGTTATGGATTGCTCCTCCTCTGTGTATACAGTTCCTTAGATGAACCTGTCTTGTAAGGTACTTTTGTTCACCTCTCGGCTCGCGTGAATTCAGGACCAAGGACATGGCAGTGCCGTCAGCGTGGAAGTTAGCTGATACTTGTTCACCCAACTATTTGTTCTCAAGCGAGACGAAAGCCTCACTTGGTGCATTGGAGTCCAATTGCATCTCATTGTGGGAAGTAGCTTCATCGACCTCAATTGCATTCAATCTATTATTCCCTTTCCAGATATTCAGACAAGCAGTTAGTGGCCATTTGCTTGTATTGACGACAACGATAACATTCGCAACCATCATAAATCTTGAAGTCTTGGTCATGGTGTGAAGTAGAAGAGTTGCGGTTGTATGAACCACTTCCACCTTGACCATTGGAACCACAGTAGCTGTTACCATGATTTGATTTGTTATTGTTGTAAGAACGAGCATTACCGCTACCACGAGGATTCGATGATCTGATGTCACCATTAGAATTGTTCTTGCCATGACGCACAACATTCAGTTGTTCATTATCCTCAGTCAACGTCAGCATATTCAGCCATTGCGTGGAACTGTGTTCTATCCATGGTGGACATGAAAGTCGCACCTTTCCAATGATCCTTGAAGATTACAATGTCTTCAGTGGCACATTTGAACTGAGGAAAATGACCTTCATCAAGAACAGAAATCAATTCAGTCCAATTGGAGATTTTTGAAAAATCAACAATATAGTTGGGAGCAACCTCGAATAGAATAATTTCAAGTTGGAGCTTGACTTCTCTAAATGAGGGACCATAACCACGAGGACACTGGCAGGCAATAAGCCAAGTGCGCAATGATTGAGCAATGTTTTCACCTTTCTTAATCCATTTTGTACGTAGGGCATGGTCTTTGAGGAACTTATGCTTTTCAATCTCAATCCTGGAAGGGAAAAAGTAGAGGATAAGGGCAAACCAGGAGTCGGCAATGTAGTAGTATGTTGTAGTTGAAATATGAGCAAAGATGATATCTCTAATGCCATAAATAGTGACACTATCACTGAAAAACTCATCAATTAGGAAACTGACCCATTGATCGGTTCTCAACTGAGTTCTAGTACAGAACCATTTGGCAGCCTTCAACCATGCAATTCTCTCCTCGAATGTCATCCGTTTTGGAGATGAAGTAATAGAATCTGGACGGGAGAACATAGGATTGTATTTCATTGTGCCAGTGTCCCTAGTACAGCTTGCAACCAATTGATCTTCCAAAAAGATCTCAGGTTGGATTTCCTTCAATGTGGTCAATAAGGCTGCTTCAGCTGGTTCGACTTTGAACCTCTCAACCACAGTTTGAGGTGGAGTAACCTTAGGTTCTTCGAATGAAACCTTTGGACCGTCATGATTGTTGGTTGGCGAAGACGTCTCAGGAATGGTGTTTGATTTCTCCTCAGAACCACTCACTTTGTTCATCCAGGTGTTGAGCAATTTGGTGATGTCATCAAATCTTTGTTTGTTTTCGTCGTTTATTTGTTCAAATCTTTGTTCAATGGCATCGAATCTGGCCTCAACTCTTTGTTCAATGGCATCGAATCTGGCCTCAATTGCGGTGATTCTCTCCTCTTTCACTCTGGAGGATTCACCAGCGGAGATGACCTGAGCATCATCAACGTCAGATACAAAGCAGTAATTTCGTCCTTCATCAGGAACAGGACCTTGGCTTCTCAGCCGAACAGCACTCATCTCGAGGAATTCAAAAGTTCAATCGATTGATAATTGAGTAACAAGGTAGTTTATAACCGTTTGGATAGATATCTGTACAGAACAAGTTTGTATAGAACAGGCTATAGAATAAAATCTTATTCTATTATGTGCTCTTCGGTGTTCAGCTTATAATCTTCCAGTTATATCGACGTCACAATGTATGTTTTCACCACCAATAACCTTTGTGTGGTATGTTGCTTAGCTCAGGGGGTGCCACTTCAACTTTATAAATAATGACAATAAGATAATTCCTATAACAATATAATATCGAAAATATAATATCAAAATATAATATCAAAAATATAAGAGTAAGGGCTTCAGTTCATAAGAACTAAGAAAGAGGGAATACAACGGCTCAGGATGTGCCTTTAAAACCATTGAAGAGAAACACCCGAACCTCGAGGATTCGGGCTCCATGTTGTGTGATATTCGACCTTCGGATTAGGATTCGGAATTATCGTCTGATTGCAGCTTTTAAATGTATAAGAAACAAGTGATGCAAATCCACAGGATTTGGGAATGTTTCCTTAATGGTTTAAAAGGAAGTCCTTGAACCATTGTACTTCCTCCTTCTTTCTGTTTAGAAAGAGACAGTACTTTTATTTTATATTTTGGATTATATTGTTATTAAGATTATTCTTATTCTCATTACCATATCTTTAGATCTATTTAGCCACTCTGGTGAAAGGAACACTATAATATCGAATATAGTGAAGGATATATTGTGACTTTGATATAACTAGGATATAATATAAGCTGAACCCCGAAGAGCACAGTAGTTTCACGCCAGCAAAGGATGTGGTAACCGAAAGGAGTCATAGTAAATTACAGCTGATGTAATTCAGTGATAAATCCGGAAATCAAGTCCGAGGGTCGAATGTCACACTGTTGACATTTGTCCAGACAAATCATCCAATGCGCTGAAGTTAAGCCTTCTCTAAGATCTCTACTAGTCATCTGATGCTTAGCCATGTCTCAGAAGATTGTGCTGGGAAATCCAGTCCTTAACGGGGCCATGTAGAAGAGTTAAATGCCCACTACAAAAGCAAATTAACAAACTGTGAAAAATCGTATATTATAACGATCCGATCAAGTGATTCACTTGAACTTCAGAAGTTCAGCATTATAACAATGAACCTCCATAGAATCGAAACAGCCCAAAAAGGACCAAGCGTTAGGGTCATGAGAAGCAAAAAGTATCATGTGTACACTAAAATTAGCGTATCCACAACAGGGTATATGAAGGTAGATATTTCTAAGAGTGGAATGGCGAGAGCGTATTCAAATCAAGAAACTTAGAAAGCCAACAAACCCATGATGGCAACAGCCAAAACGGAGCCAGCAGCCTTACCAGCAGCACCCTCGTAAGTGGAAACCTCAACGGTGGTCTCAGCCTCGGTCTTTGGAGCCTCGGTCTCTGGAGCCTTGGTGGTCTCACCCTCAGAAGACTTGGTCAAAGTGACAGTCTCCTTGGTGACGGTGGTCTCTGGGGCCTCAGTCTTTGGAGCCTCAGTCGTTGGAGCCTCAGTGGTTGGGGCCTCAGTCTTTGGAGCCTCAGTCTCTGGAACCTCGGTGGTTGGGCAGTAGGTGGTGTAGACGGTCTCCTCACCGTTCTCGGTCTTGGTGACGGTGGTGACACCGGTGGTGACTGGAACTTCAGTACACTTGTCCTCCTCACAAGAGGTGATGGTGACAACGGTGGTGGAGATCTCCTCGGTGGTGGTGGTGGAGGTGGAGAGTGGGCAGTAGGTGGTGTACTCGGTAACAACACCCTCGATGGTCTCAGTGACAACGGTGACACCGGTGGTGACTGGAACCTCGGTACAGACCTCGTCACAGGAGGTGACGGTGATCACAGTGGTGGAGATGTCCTCAACGGTAGCAGTAGAGGTCACGTTGGTGTAAGCAGCAGAAGCAGCAGAGACAAGAGTGGCAGCAGCGATAGCGTTGGAGAATTGCATTGTGGTATATAAGCGAGTGTGAAGGCTGATGATCTGTTGCAACACTAAAGCTCTGATCAGATTAAACAGGGATCTCACTGCCTATTTATAATGGGGGCAGATGAAAGCACAACTTGGAATACTGTTTCCTTCATAGCCCATAACAACTGGTGCGAATGTGTGTACATATGCGTGTCCACCTTATGACAAACCGTATTTGTTCACTAATATGCGAGCATTTAATAAACTCCACTTGCACCGTGCATCACTGTACATGCCAAAATGGAACTCCTTTTGCCCAATCTGGAAGAAGGACGGAAACAAGTTCTAAACTCTTCCTTCAGCCCTAGAACGAGCAAACACAGCATACGAAAGGAGTAAGTGGTGGAAACCAAAAGGGCAGAGGTTAAATCAAGGTTTGTTTACAAAACACCGTATGCAATTTCAGAGGTCATTTCAAGTTGCGATGCAACTTCTCCAATGTGTACTCCCACATTGTCCGAGAGAATCCTTGTGTTGCTGTGGCCATCACGCTTGTGCGATACAATTACTACGCTAACGAAACAGGTTGGAGACGTCTTTGAGTGCGGTTGTTGCTTGGACCACTGTGCTGGAATGCTTGCAAGTTGTCATCGAGCTGCAATCCGCAGCGAGGCAGCCCCAATTATGAGTCAACGTTTCTGTTGTGCGGGTCCATGGCTCCACGGTTCATGGGCCTTCCCTCCCGCCGCTAGCGGTCACCAGTGGGCATTGGGTTGTTGTGTGGTGATTTGTATGGAATTTACACGTGGAATAGAGTTGAGAATACACGTCGATGTACATATTTGTTGACGTTTGTATGCTGCGCACCTGTGAGGAGAACGCACGGTTGCGTAAATCTGGTAAACGTGCACGGTTCAACAGTGTTGTGCCTTTGCTTTTGTTAGACGGAAACTGATCGCTCTCAGAGCCAATGGGGCCTCTGTAACGTAGTTTAAATCATAACAGATCAGCCATCCCTGTCGCAGTTTGTCCCTTTTGCCTCTTCTCCGTCTTGATGCTTCCTCTATGCCTCCTGTGTACACACGGTGATAGTTCACGCACCAGTGCTTGGTGTTTATCTCGAACAGATTTAGAGCTAGATACAGCGAAGCTTACAAGACGTCGGAGCTTGCTGCAAAACGTAGGAACTTGCTGCAACCCGGTAGTAATTGAAAGTTAAAGCTGGTATATCTACTGATCGTCAAGGTGGCACGATAGCTTTCCCATCATTGCTTTTTTGCCTCCTTTCACTCCGTTCGACGGCACTCTCAATTGTGGACAATGCGAGCCGTACGAGGGCCATTGGAGGATCTTTTTGAGTGTCGTCATGACGACCCTCATTCAACTTCTAATAATAAGATGCGCCCAGCAAGGACAACATCTCGACGTTTCAAGTTATCTGGAACGAAATTCGTCCTTCTGAAAGGTGGAGGTGTATGTGCTCAATTCTACACAATGGTGGTTATAACCCTGTTGCGAGCTTGCTGACTCAACATTACCAACATCCAAGTTCCTGGTCCCTCGGGCTCGCATCGGATATAGATAGAACCCCCCTTCCGTACGCAAAACCCGTAAGTACCTTAACGTTCCTCCATTCGCAAACAAAACGCAATCGTAGCATGATGTTGCCTGGGTAAAACCGGTTAGCCATGAAACCCTCCTAAGTTAGGATGGTTTTCCTTAGAATACAGTGTCCTCTTCACTACACTACAACATGGCAAACAGGAACCATTTATCCAGCCGATGTCAATTGGAAGGTTGTCCTCCCTTTGGAGGTCCTCCAGTGGCTCCTTGCTCCCCATTTACATGCCCATACCTAGCGTTCTCTCGCTACAAATAGTCTACAGTGCTCTCTCTGCTTCCCTCCTGAGTGAGTGAGCTGAATTTTGCCTAACAACGCCTGTACGCTGAACCCAACGCATCCCGCTTAAAAAAGTTTTCCCAACCTTAACTACGAATTAGGAAAAAATCCGCGTAAAATTCGAACTGCAAAGTTGCGTAAACAAGAAAAACGACAAAAAACCAAGCAAAAACACCAAGTTCCCACGGAGACTGGTTTTGTTGTTGTTTTTATTTTCTGACGGGTTCCTTCATCACCCAGGTAACAACAATACTACGAAAAAAAACTCTTTCCTGTGATAAAAGCTTAAAGGTTAAATCGTCAAGGCAGCGGTGGAGAACTGACCAATCAAATGCTTTGTTTATCAAATTGTTGAGTGGTGTATTGTCGAGTCCGTCGTGTGCCAATTGCCGTAGTTAACCCGGGAATTAACATATACCGAGGAGATGGTTAGTTTTATACACACAGCACCACCATTTATTGGCTATGTTGTGCGATGTCAAACCACTGTGTCGGCATGATGTCCATCATCAACAAGCCCTGGAGATGCGATCGATTTCCTGAAAACGGTGAAAAAGGTCCTGTGGTGAACATTGTTTCATTCGTCGCGAGGTATAATTGGGACCGATGGTCGCATATCTGGGTATGCGACGCGAGTCTGTGATGCTCAACAGGTTTACGAGCCAACAGCTATGCGGTCAGCCTGAGGACCACCAACATCTGCCGTTCCACCATGAAAGGGGGGTACCACGGTCTATCGTTAAGCCAAAAGGAGTACCTGCCAATCATCTGAGTAACATTAGACGTGGTTTGTAGCTACTTCTGTGCTAGTACACAACCTGTGAAACTCCATCATCGTACAACCCCGGTGGAATAGTGAAATGTAGCACTGGGACAACTGTTTAAGGTGGAACATGGGTAGTAAGGAGTATACTGACGGCATATCACATCAATGTTCATTTCTCAGCTCTGTGGGCGTTGTTTGTTGTTGAAGTTCTGCGCCTGGTGATGTAGAAGTTGTAGGAATTCGAAGACTCAGCAGAGGTTGAAGTTTGTAGACAGGGGGAAGAGTGCTTATCGCCTAAACAACGACTTGTTACTTTGAATAACTTCGCCATGTTACTCAGCAGCACAGTCAGGCCAAACACATCATACACTGGTGATGGCGTTTGGGTAGTTATGCCACGCAGGCTTCGATATAAAGTGGAAATACTGTAGGTTTATTGCAACCTACCTTTGAGATATTTCATCAGCTGAGTCCTGTGCAGTAGGCGTTCCATTTCTATCATTCTATATCATTCCCTAGCATGACTCAAGGCAGAAGCTTTTGTTATGATGGATCCTTGAGATCAACACAATGTATGAGAGATACGTTGTGATGAATGTGCTGCAGTATGTTTGAATTGTCAAGTTCAAGAGCTGATTCCATAGAGCTGTTATCGTGGAAATAGAAAGTCAGCAGTACCAGCACTACATCTGAGGGAAGTCTATGAAGATATACGGGCTCTCTGTGTATCTCAGCAGAAATAACAGCTGAAGTGCTACTACTGAACGTGTCGTTGGAATCCGTGGAAACTCAGAGACTCCAATATCGTCACTTAAATATGACGCATTGTGGATATAATGGCATGATTGGTTAATCTCCATAGCTATACGCTCTCAGCTGTCGCAGTTTGCCGAGAAACATTCATCACATGACCACTGATAGCTATTTGAATAAGTTGCTCACTCAACCATTTCCCCGTTTATTCGTTCGTTTAACAAGCAATTCGCTCGTTTTTGAATAATGTGCTATGATTTGGCCTTCTAAAGGTGTTAAACGCACAAGAGCTGCTCATACCCGATCTACTTAACTCTGGCCCAGTTTCCACGTGATAATTCTGCTTCTAGTTGATGTATCACATACAGTTATAGGCCAATGCGTAATAAGACCAGACCTCGTTAAATGTACTTATTTTCGCTGTTAGTAGACGTCTCCATTGGAGAAGCAATGAACGGATAAGTTCCGGTTAATTAATACATCATAAAAGAAAGATATTTTCTTGAATCAGTGTATATGAAGTACTATTTATACAATAAATGATAGCATATATCACATTATATCCAATAATGGAATTGATTTTTCTTTAAAATATTTTAAATCACTAAGCGGACACATTTTCTATTAGAAAATTTACTTAGCCATAATTGATGCCCCTTAAGCACATACAAATCCTTTTAATAAATTAGCCAATTGGCATGATTCATGACCATTAAAATACACCTAAATCATACTATATAAACCTACTGGGCTACTTTACATCAATGATAATATAAATGAATCCATTTACCGAATAAAACGCATCCCCTAAGCGCAGTATCGACCTGTCAGACGATTGTGTCAAGAAACATCCGTACCTCAGAGCATATAATGTATACACCCTGTTGGCTTTCTCCTTCACAACACGGGTGTGTATTTTCTAGCTTTATTCACAGTTTAAAGGCTCAAGCCACCACAAAGGTCACGGTTACGTAGCCGATATTGGCCAAAGAGCCTTAGAAGTGAAGCTTTCCATGGGTTTGAATGCTCCATAACTGTAAACTTAGGCGTGATAATGTAGAATATGTAGCTTATCGTGAACATTTTAGAAAAGTGAAAGAAAGGTTCATTTTACAGTGGTTTGAGGACTTTTACACACTGTGTGCACTCAAGAACAATTGAGTTGCTTGGAATGAGAGTGGGAACGCATTGGAAGAGCATGTAATAGGCACATAATTTGTATATTGAGTTTACCATTTTGGGTATCAAAGCGACCACTCACTCACACTTTGGTGATATTTGAGGAGCCTGAAGTGGTGAAGTCATACTAGTTGAAATCATGCCATACGTTCTGAAACAGTGGCTTCTTGGTGGTGAAGAAGAATGAAAGTGGGGAGGTATATAACTGGCATTATCACACCTCGTCTTCAACGACTTCCAGCTTCTCAAATCATGAACAATTAACAATGTCCAAACTTGAGGCTGAATTCGAACAAAAAGATATCGCTGCCGTTGAATCTGGCATAATTGAAGGCTCTGCTTCTTCAGATAGCGAAGCTGAACACCAATTGAACAAATATGGTGCGCCTGTGGAGAAGTACAATCCATTGGGCACTCAGATGAACTATATGTCCCTCTTTTACATGATCATATCTGGTGTTGTTGGTACTGGTATCTTCGGTACTCCTGGTACAATTTTGGATCAAATTGGATCTGTTGGTGCCTCATACGTACTCTGGGTTGTTGGATTCATCGTCACACTCTTCAGAGTCCTTATCTATGTTGAATACGTTACATATTTCAAAGATAGGTCCGGAGGTGATGTTGCATATCTCGAACAGGCATATCCCAAACCTGAATTCCTAGTTCCAACTACATACGCTGCAATAACCGTTGTGTTCTCCTTTGCAACCTCATCAGCCACTGCCTTTGGATCGTATATCCTCCAGGCTGTCAATGCAGTTCCAACTACTTGGAATCAAAGAGGCATCGGTGTTGCAGCTCTCGTATTCACCACTGGACTAACAGCACTCAGCACCAAATGGAGCTTGAGGCTTGCCAACTTCCTTGGTCACATCAAGATCTTTACGCTCTTCTTCATCGCAATATCAGGGTTTGCGGTGCTTGGAGGTGGCACCCGTGTGACGAACCAGTTTGCAAACTTCCAACATGCCTGGAAAGGTACCACAACTGATCCCAATGCCATAGCAAACAGTATCGTGAACATCTCGTTCTCATATGGAGGAACAGGCTATGCATTCAGCTTAGTTTCTGAGATGCCCATGGCTAAGAGAATGAAAGGGTTTAAGCTGCTGGTGCCAACAACTTTCTTCTTCATATTTGTGATGTACATTCTATGCGTCACTGCCTTCTTCGCAGGCTCTGGTACTTTGGATGAGCTGAAGAGTTCTCATGTGCTGACTGCCTCGCTATATTTTGATAATGTGTTTGGAACAAGTGGACGGAGAGCACTGGATGTGCTGGTGGCATTGAGTGCCTTGAGCCATCTGATTGTCGTTGTCGTTGGCCATTCGAGGTCGTTACGAGAGTGTGGACGTCAGGGCGTGCTTCCATACAGGAACTTCTGGGTCTCTGTTAAACCATTTGGAACTCCATTGGGCCCAGTTGCTGTCACCTTCATCATCAACCTCATCGTTTTACTTGCGCCTCCAGCTGGTGATGCCTATAACTTTGTTGTTTCCCTTGGCTCTTACTCTGGCTACATCTTCGACTTCTTCCTCTCCTTGGGACTGCTATTTGTAAGAAGGCAGAGAAAGAGAAGGGGGTTTCCAAGCACTGGGTTCCATGTACCTTTCCCAGTTGTTGTTATTCATATTCTTTTCCAGCTCTTTGTCATGATTATGCCATTGGTTCCGCCTGAGAACGAGGATGGCTCGCTGAGAGGAACCAATGTTAGCTTCTTCTACGCTACGTACTGTCTAGTTGTCATTGGCCTATTCCTACTGTGCTTTGTCTATTACTTCTTTTGGCAGTTCATACTACCAAAGTATGGGAAGTACGCCCACAGAGTCCAAGTGTATACCCTTGAGAATGGAGCCAAGGGTAACCGTGTTGTGAAGATACCTTTGGATGAAGTAGAGGAATGGGATACAAAGCATAAGAGCATTGAGCTGACAACTGTCGACAAGCGTTAAACAGTCGTTGGCTCTCTGTTTCCATCAACTTGCAGATGTCGTGGGAAAAGAACAGTGAGAAAAAAAAGAGTATTCTTTCATAATGGAACGAGTAGATCGAGTAGGGAACGTTTCCTGCTGTGTGTACAGGCTCAACAGGCTCAATTGACTAGCATGGTCGCTGAACAGTGCTGTGTGCTGGTCTGATTGACCGAGGCCTCATTGACTGAGGTCTGAGCGACGTTGAACGTCCTGTACACCGTTCTAAGTGGTTGGAATGAAACGATGGGTAAAGTTATATAAGCGACTTATCCATAGGTAGCACCACGTACATCAAGGCGAGGAATTCGATCCACATCCAGAGAAGAGGCCTACACACACAGTCTCCTCCTCTAATTGATCACATTCCAGACATATACCCGTATATAACCAGTATATATACTGCCTCCAGCTGATTGTTTCACGTCTGTCTCACCGTAGCCCATATTGGTATGAAACCAATATGAGTCGAGTTATTGTCCCAATTACCCTCCAAATGTTCTCCAGTGTAACGTGTCTGTGCCATGGACTCGAATGAGCGTTTCACAGTGTGTAAACGAGGACCTACAGAGTATCATAGACCCCGTTCTTCAAACCAGTTTCTTCCATATATCGCAAGCACGAGATGTCCCATTTGTCCCACTTGTCCCACTTGTCCCATTTGTCCCAATATCCAAACACCAAGCCGGACACGGGACAAAACAGTAACACCCGACACCTCGAACTTTCTCTTCGGACAAACCTATAGCGAAAGCACCGGTTGTAGCCCAAGACGGGTGTTTAAATGCTGATAAGAACGCTGAAGAGAGCCAGCTTGTCCACTATGAGAACGATGAACCGCTCAATACATTTGGTCTCTTCGGACTCCTCAGACGGGGAGCTCATCGCCATAACCTCGGATCTTGAAGAGAACGAGGACAGGCTCTTATACATGGAGCAGCAGAAGATGATGAGGCAGAAGTTTGAAGAGGAGAACCCGGGCTTGACGTACAAGATCCATGTTCCAAGGGAGTTCTTATCGAGCGAATCGTATCGACGTTCTCATGGGCTGTTATCTGATGACGAGGAAGCTGCGAAAGCCGAGGTCAAAAGAGAGCGTAATAGACGGAGAAGGCAGAACCGTGCACAGAGGAAGAGGGAGGCAGAGGAGTTGACGAACGCTCAGAAGCAGTCTCACGACCCAATTGAGGTGAGAAACACACAGTGTCGCTTCTTTGAACCTGACTGCGACAATCTGGCGTCTACTGATGCCGCAACTGTTCCCTTTGATGAGCTCACCTTGTTGAGACAGAATAAACTGAGACAACTGGACACTTATTTCCAAAAGGTTGGTCTCATTCGTAAACAGCACCCTGTCCTACAGAGTGAAGGCCATTACCACTCCCTGAAACAGGCAGTCAGAAACATTGCTGATCCGTTGAACATTTTGATCTCTCTCGACATTGAAGCGTTCGAGTTCTGCAACAACAAGGTCACTGAGATTGGGATTTCCATCTACGACCCCGGCCATGAGATACACTCCACGGTGCCACATCTGAGGACCATTCACCTGTTACCCAAGGAGAACTTGAAACTACGTAATAAGAAGTACGTTGGCGATAACAAGGACAACTTCTTATGCGGGGGCTCCATCATCTTGCCGTTGGACCAATGTACCACTTTCCTGGAGTTGCTGTTCCACCACTATCTCGTCCATAAACGGGAACAAGGCTTTAGCACTGTCTTTGTGGGCCATGATATCCGTGGTGACTTGAGCTGGTTGAGATCGCAGATAGGCGTCAATGTCCCCGACGATATTCTCATTGCAGACACTCAAAAGATGATGGCTTCTGTCATTGGCAGACAGGTTGGGCTTTCAACCTTATTGACTATGTTTGAGATACCTCACGGCTTCCTACACAACGGTGGTAATGATGCTTATTTCACCTTGCTATTGGCCATGAGATTGGCTGATCTCCCATATAGAACCAGACTTGGTATGGACCAGCCTCGTTTCCAACAGTGGTTCAACGAGCAGGAGCTATGGATCAAGGGCTTCCAAGGATACAAGAAAAAAGGTGGCAATGGCGTAGCACCTAAACTGGTTGGCCTCGAACCTTCCCGTTTCCGTTCGGGGAGAGAGGCATTGGAATATGTCTTCCTTGATGCAATGAGCGCTCAATACCGTTAGGGGTTTTAACCATATTGTGAACTTTGTCCAATGAACGAGATCCTTCACTCACTACAGTGCAAGGGTACATAATCATAGAACTACACTCATTTTGATACATTTCTTATTTAGCTGAGCTCCAATTACGACAGAACTTGTTGTCGTGATGATCAATACTTTATGACTTCTTTACAAGCCCACTAGTACTTCTGTGCACCTTATGCAACATCACTGGTTGCTCTTCTCCACCAACAACCATTGTTCCAGTGTCATTGACTTAATATCAACGGCACAGCGTAGAAGGAGCCTGTCATTGCGATCAATTGAACGTACAAGAATGGGTTTCTGGCGTTCATTAGACATCTTCAGGGCTATGTGCCATGGTATACGTGTGCTGCCCCTACCGATCTCCACCGAACTGGCCGTACTTTGCTCCATCAACGAGTCTCCCCTCCACCAGCGAGTCCCGCGGACTCAGTCTCGTGGCCTCAGTCCCGTGGCCTCAGTCTCACCAATGCTACACCATGTGCCCATTGGTAAGAGGAGCGAAGAGAACAGAAGTGCGAGGGCAGACTGGTTACGAAGAGTGTTAGTCCCAGCCTGGTGGATACCATACAACTGCATCTGTATGTAATCCCTCCAGGTGGTCCGCAGTACCTATACAATTATAAAGCTGAACTGAACTGAGCTATATGGTCTCGTGGTCTCATCAGTCTTATGAGCTCTTGGGCACCGATTGATGTTGTAGCAGGGTCAAACAGTGGTGAACCAAGGTAGAGAATGGTCAGTCCTCAGCATCTGGCTGATGCTATGAAGATAAGCCATCAGCTTTGTCAAGGTTGTCAGACTCGAGCTCAGATGGCTACGTATCTGATTCAACCAGCTGAGCCTGCAACGTCTCAAAGCAAACCAGCGTTTCATGGTACTTTGTAGTATCAGAGACATGTGAATGTGTATCTTTTGCTTTGCTAATTCATAGAATAGCGAGCTACCGGATACCATATACAGCTGCTGGTCAAACTGTGTGTGACGTGGTCCTCACATTCCATTACAAGAATGTAGGTGTGCCAGACAGAGTGCCAGCCAGTGTACCAGCCAGAGTACTAGGCAGGGT